GATATCACAAACTATTTAACTTCAGTCTAGGTTTATTTTCAGATGATGTTAAGATGTCACTGCAGTTCATTGATAAGAGCAACTTTTTCAGTCTGAAACAGAGACTTCATTCTCTGTCTTAAAGAGATTATGAAGCTGCTGATCAGATTCTGAACCTGCTTCTATAAGATAGAAGAATTGAATGTGTTTCTCTCAGAGACAGAAACCTTATTGCTTCACCTGCCTTTGTGATCTGGCTTAAAGAGAAGCTGAGAGTGATGATTGATTTGTGAAAAGTAAACATACACTTACTTCTTAATATATATGCTCTACTGATATAATAAGATGTGTTGCAATCACTCAGCAGTTCTACAGTATTCTCATTCATGAACATCTGTCAAGGCTTCTTTTAACAAGCAATTAAACAGAGCGATTGTTTCAAAATCATATTTATAACTTCATATCAAGGTCTTGAACATTTTACAGTTATTACAATGAGATTAATAATCTTATCTGAGTTCTTTCAACAGTGTATGAAGAAGATTCTAGCAAAATTCCTATGATGATTCACATTAGTCTATGTAGATAATATCATCATCTTCTCTTACTCACTGAATAAACATTTTCATCATATGCAGCAAGTCTTCACAGCTCTCAAGATGTCTGAGATAATAATGTCATTAACTAAATGTCATTTCACATACTTCTCAGTGCATTTGCTGAGTCATCATGTCAGCTGACTAGATATATCTATTCAAGAAGAGAAAGTAGCTGCTATTACTAATCTAGCCTTCTCTATAACACTCAGAGAACTAGAAGGAATTGTCAGTCTCTTTAATTATTATCACAATTTTGTAAGTTTTTATACAGATCAGATAAAAGCATTAGAAACTCTCAAGATCAAGTTACTATATAACAGTTCAAAAACAGGCTAGAAAAGAGTGTCATACACAGCTAAGACTAAGTTGATAAGATTCAATAACTTACTGCAGTTTCATACTCTGCTTGCAGAAGTCAGATATTCATTTAATATAGTAAAGCAAGTCTTGATAAATACTCTCATTCAGATATATTCTGACTTTAAACATTTCTTCATATTGTATGTGAATATCAGTAAGCAAAGAGATATCAGTAAGCAAAGAGATATCAGAGTAGCTCTATATTAAGTTAAAATGAATAACATTGAAAGATCTGTTCTATTTCTCTCTCACTGATTAAGCATGGTTAAAAAGCACTACTGAGTGACTGAATTGAAGTGTCTTAAACTTATATAAGCTCTGTGGAAATTACTGCAGTATTTAGACAGTGAGTTTACAGTTATCACTGATTATATCACTCTTGTATCTGCTTTTCAGTCATTAGTAATAGGTCATTGTAGTAACTGACTGACAAATTGAGTCTTAGTTCTAAGCTTATATCTTCTGCAGATGATAATCTGCTATCACAAGAACACTGCACATACTAATACTGATACTCTATTCAGATTATGTTATCTAGATGATGATTCAGAAGAGATTCTTTCTGAAGAGCAGGAAAAAATTTATCAGATTATCATCAATTGAGTAGATGAACTGATGACAGACACATCTTCAGTGAAGATATATATAATTTCAACTACAGCAATAGAGCTTACTGACAAACTCAAAAAGCAACTATATCAAGATATTCCCTGTGACTCAGCATTAGAAAAGGTCTTTTGCAAGGCTAGTCAGAAAGAATGATATCAGTTGTTTACAGTGCAAAACAGGCTATTATTCTTCAAAGAATTGCATCTCTGTATTCTCAAATCACTGATATGAGATGTCATCTGTATGTGTTACAATGCAGCAGGTCACTCTGGCCTTCATTGAATGAAAGATCTTATTCATCAGTCATTCTTCCTTTCTCATATCTGAAAGAGAATCCTGAACTGTCTATTACAATGCCTCAATTATCAACTAGTCAAACTGCTGAATCACTTGTCAGAGGACAAATTACATCTCATCTCATTCTTAAAACAGCTGTTTGAAGTTCTTTTAATCAATTTTGTTACAGAATTATCTGTGAGCAACAATTATAACACTATATTAACAGTCACAGATAAATTTTTGAAAGCAGTAATTCTAATTGCAGAACAGAAATGATAAGATGCTTTATAATAAATGAAAGACTTCTATAAGAAGATGATCTGCTGCTGACAGCTCTCACTGACAATTATTTTGAATAGAGACTTCAAATTTACATTACAATTTTGAAAGTTGATTCTTCAGCTCATGAGAATTAAGACATGAATGATAACTGTCTACAATTCTCACTTAAACAGTCAAAGCAAGTGAATCAATCTCACAGTTAAAGTCATATTATGAATACTTCTTATAGATGAATATGAAGCAAGTTGAACTGTTCTACTTGAATAAGTGAAAAGAGTATTGAACTCAGTAGCTGTACAGTCAGTAATGATCTCTCTCTTCAAGCTACTCACAGGTGTAAAGTCTAGATGACTGTCATTGAAGAATGAGAAAGCTTTACTAGATGTAGCTGAGTTCATCATCATGTGAGATGTGATATGACAAGACATTCTTAACTCATATGTTCTGATAAAAGCTAGAATAACTGAGTCTTTTGACTGATTCTATTCTCAATCAACTATTCAGATTGATGATTGAGTCTTCTTGAACCTCACTTAAAAAGCTCAAAAGAGCTATATATTAAAAGGAATATTCAAGCTATCACTTTTACAGGTAGGCTTATTTCATGTTCTTCAGAAGATATCAGATACTGCATTTCAATTGAAACTATCAGCTGATTAATGAATGCATTCAGTAATCTTCATCATTCATCTGAAAAAGACTGTATTAATGAGAGTGAATATGAAGCACTCATCATCAGAGTCAGTACTCATTGATAGTCAGTTGTAATTTGAAGTTGAAAACATCATAAGAAAGTGCACAGAGAACAACAAGACTTATCTTCAGATTAAGTGAAAGAGATATGAAGACCTGATCTGAAAGTCTCTTAAAGTCATTGCATAAGACATTTCACATCTGATCAAGGTCTTCATGATCAAGAAGCCTCACAGTCAGCCGAGTAAAAAATAGAAAGAAAAGTAAAATAGAGAGAGAGTAAAAGAAAGAAAGAAAATGTATTATAATCTATTTTTAGCTATCAAATGAGAAGATAAAGAAAACAAGAAAATCATCTCTTCTGTCTTCTCTTCTCTCTCAATATTCTATCTTCAAGCTGCAAGAAATCAAACCTTTCACAAGATAAACACAGAGATATTATCTTTCATCATTTTCATCATTTTATTCTGTCTCTTCTCATTAATCATCTTCAAGCTCTTTCTGCAGCTTGACCTTCTGTTCAGCAAGACATGTGTCTCAGAATACAATATCTGCTAACAATTTCTTATTTATAAAATCACTGAAACACACTCTGCTGAGCAACTTAAAGAAATGATTATTAGTCACAGTATCTTCTGCAGCTGAAATTATGTTGATGAACTCAGCTATCTTATTCAGTTTCTTTCACACAGCCTGAATAACATTCAGATTATACTTGTCAAGATTAGGCAGCTGTCTCAGCATCTTCAAATCTTGAGCTCTACAATTGATCATGTGGCCTTCAGAAGACAGAATTGACAATTATTGTGTATTACTTATCTTAACCTCATCAACTGTCTTAGCAGGGGTTGAATAGCTTATCTTTGTCTCACTGTCTGTCTTCACAGGTGTTAAGATAGTATCTCTCTTACTGATTTGAACATGTTTTAAGAGTTTCAGTGTAATCAAACTCAATGTCTTATACTTGAAAAATATAGACATTCTCTTCATTGAAACTATAGTTAAATTGTCCTTCTTTCTTATATCACTGATCTCAATGATGTTATTCACATCTGTCTTCTTAGTCACAGTCTTTTCAAATCCAGACATACTCTCTTTAAATAGCAAGTTATTTATATTTCATCTGAGTTCATATCAGCTACAGTAATTTAAAGAGTAGTGAAATCTCTTATTTCTCTACTGACAGTTAATACAAGTGCTGTGTTCTTGCTGTATCTGTTTGTCATCTGCAGAGATAATCACACATTTCTCAAATCATTTCTAACTCTTCACACAAGACTGACATGATACAGAAGCTATTTTCTCATGAGTCTGTAGAATAATAATGTTCTGATTGACAGAATTCTTAGAATTGACAGTCTGTGAAGTAATTAGTTCATTATTATTTATTTATCAGTGTAACTTTCACTTGACAGATAACTGTCTCAAATTCTTAATCAATCACTGACTGAGTAAAATAAAAAATTCATAATTGATAAATAATATCTTCTTACTACATTCTGTGAGTCTTTCAATGATTGAGATAGCATTTGCAAGCCTCTTCACAGTTGAGTCCTGCATGATTGACATGCTCAGATGAGTGAGCTTGTCATTCTTACAGAAGTGTAAGTCAGTCTTGTTATTATGATACAGACATCTCATACATACTCTGCTATACAGTCAAGGTATCTGATCATTCTTGATATTCTTCTTTCACTCTGACTTTCTCAAAACATTATCACTCAGAGTTTCATACTGCTTCTGACTAGCTCTTCAGTGCTTCTTATTCTCTTCTATCAGTGACAGTTCTTTCATATCTGTATCTGTCTGTTCAGCTTCTACTTTCAGTTCTACTTGCAGTTCTTCATCATCTGCTACTTCTGCTGCAGTCTTCTGACTCTCTCTCTTCTCATTCATCTCAATATCTTCTTTCAAAAACTGGTGTGTGAACAGTCATGACTTTTTTAAATGAGTAAACAGTGTTATAAGCTTTCATGTCACAGTCTTAGATTCTTTCTGACTCTTTGAGCTTTTATTATGTGATTCATCTGTTGACTCTTTCACAGCAGCATCATGCAGCCTAGCTGAGTGATGATGAGATATCACTGTCTTTTCCTTATCTTAGCTTTTGACTGCTTTGTACATGGAAAGATAAAATGATAGTGTTGAAAGCTCATCTCTGAAGTTGTCAGAATTAAAGATTTCTGACTCATTCTCTGTTCAGAATTCTAACTCTTCACTCTCATCATTTTCTTTCATCTCATTCTTGTCTATCTTCTCTTCATCAGTCTTCTTATCTGTCTTCTTGCTCATTGCCTCATCTGTCTTCTCTTCTCTATCACTCATATGAAGAAGAGCATCACACTTCTTCTGACTTAACAACTGAAACAATTTCTCTAAGGTCAAGGCCTTTTTCACTATACTCACTGTGCCTGTCTTCATGGCTGTTAACTTCTTCTTAAGACTCATCATTTCTGTAGTCTAATCTTCTATATGTTGCAATTTTCACTAATTCTGCTATGTTCTTGTTGAAATTTTCATCTAACACATGATCACAAAATGATGTGAGAAATAAGAGAAGAATAAGAAGAAAGTGATTGTAATATATATATTGATGCAATCATTCATCTACACAATCTCAGTCTTCTGACCTCTATCACTCACAGAATCTTTCTTCTGTTACAATGAAACTTTCACTCTCATCTATCTCATCAAAGAATTCTTTCTCATTCAAGCTTCTTATAATTTCTTTACAATCTCTTTCTTTTCTTACAGCTGTTTTTAGATTAAAGAGCTTTCATCTTCTTCTTATCATTTCTTTTCAAGCTGTTCTTACATCTTTCATCCTTTGTATAAATAAGTAATTCTATTACTCAGACTTCTCTTTCTATGATATCTACAGTGTATGATTTCTTTCCAAGCTGTTCTTACATCTTTCATTCTTTGTATGAACAAACAATTCTTACATCTGATCATTCTTTGTATAAATAAGCAATTCTATCACTCAGTCTCCTCTTTCTATGATATCTACAGTATATATAAACAGACTAGCCTTCTGAACACTGTTCATCTCTTTGAGTCTAGTGCTCATGATATCTGTCATCTTCTTTCAACATCATTTTTTCCTTCTCCACAAATGCATTCTTTTGAATAGAGAGACTGTGATGTGCTTCCACCCTCTATTCAAGTCAATTCTCTATTCAACTCTAGCTTCTGCTTCATCTCTTACTGTTTTCTGAAGCTTCTGCTTCTATCTTCTCTCTCTGCTCTTTTCTTCATATGTGATTGCTTCTTCTATGAGAGCTTTCACTTCTTCTCTACAGAGCCTCTGTTCTTCTCTTTATAGGCAATCGCTCCTTCTACAAGAGTTAATCTCTATAAAACAATCACTGTATGTATAGGGCGTACGCTCATCTCCCATCTTTTAGAGAATCAGACGTGTTTTTACCCTTATATATGACTCTACATAGCGGCGTACGCTACAGTTTATATCAGTTTAATCACAGAGATAACAGAGAATAAAGCATCTGAAACATCTGCAGATATATGAGACTAAGTCATCTCAATCTCTGAGAACACTCAGAGATTAGATAAGATTAGTTTTAATGAACTGTTCACTGTAGTAATCTGAGCAGGTAAAGAGAGACAGTATAATACATGAGACAGAATTATAAGAGATGAAAGCTGCTGAACCTAGTTACTAAACACTATACTATATAGAGATTATGTAAAAGTAGTGACTAGCAGATAAAGAAAAAGTATAAGAAAAGAAAAGAGAATGATTTAAGAGATAATTAGACTGACCGTGTGACCGCGTCTGAGACCAGGACCAGAATATTTGATGATTTCATTACCAATTCAACTGATCCCATTACACTGTTTTAACATTAGATAGTAGTCTCATACTGTCTCAGTGAGACTTACTGTCTACTCTTGTCACATTTTCCAAATGAGACCATGATTTTCACTTCTCAATTTAAATTATTTTTATTGCTTTAAATGACTTTAAATCTCATTTGAGTGTTATCAAAAAGTGTTACTTTTTAAAAAATTAAAAATAGTCTAAAAAAAACCTTAAAATGTCTAAAAATAGTAACTTTATACTAAGAATGAGACTAAATGAAATTAAATGAGATCACTGTCTTATTTTTTCTAAGTTATGATCTCATTTTGAGATCTGATATATAGTCACTTTGCATGTTTTTTTAATGATTAGTTTCAGCGGGATTCATACTAAGAAATGTATAAGATCAGATCAAATGAAATCAAACGTGAAATTCATGATTTCAGCGGCCAGTCTAAATATACCTGTAATATTAAACTTTACAGTTATAAAAAGTTTCTTAATATCTGTAGACATTATAACTTCATATACAATAAAACTTATAATAATTTCTTCTAGAAAAATCAGTATTAGAAGAGAAGAAGAAAAAGAAAAAGACTTACAATCTTAATACTGTTAAGAAGAGAGATGATTCTCTGATATAAATAAACAATTATCTTACTATAAATATTTAAAATAAATATAATAATCAGTGTTTATAACTGAGCTTTAAATAGTTATATTATATACAGTCTTCATATAATAAATTATTCTAGAGATCAGTAAGAAGAGCAGAAGTATACATACTGAGAAACATAGTTTATCAAGTCTATATAACATCTTCTTGAAATAAGAAGAGCTAGTAACAGTTACAGAGATAGCAGAGACAGAAGTAGCAGAAGTGAGAGTAGCAAAAACAGAGATAGTGAGAGTAGAAGAATAGAATACAGAGACAAGTATAGAAGATTGAGAAGAAGTGACAGAGAGAGAAGAAGAAGTAGATATAGAAGATTGAGAAGAAATACTAGAAGAGATAGAGAGAAACATAGAAGATCTGACTATATATAATATGAGTAATTTCTTCATTATCACATTCTTCAAGTTCTTAATTAATAATTCAATATTGAGATATTCACTATTATCTGCAGATACAGATCTGTTAATATATAAAGATTCTATATAAATAAAAACAATCAGCATCTGTATTTATATAAAATCATATCAGAAAAACACAATCAGATGTCTACTGAGAAGAAAGAAGTTAAGAATGTATAAGAAGATAAAGAAGAAGTATCATTCATAATAATATATTCTGATAATTATTAAAAGAAAAACAAGTTCTGATTATATTTTATAATATATTATACTTACTGCTAATGAACTGCTCAGTATGAGTATTACAACAACACTTATTATAAGAACAGAGAGTTATCACTAGAAATATGTACAATATAATAGATGAACAGATTAGAAAGAACTTGATAAAGAGAAGAGAGTGTAGAAATCTTATATAAGATAATAACATTCAATAATGACAGTGACAGAGATGATGATTAAAGAATGAAAATATTAGTGAATAAGTAATGTAAAAATAGTAAAAGCTTCTCTGAGAGCAGCTTATGTCATGATCATGTAAGTGTGACTGAATCTGATAAGAGAGAATATGATTCAGAAGAATATACAACTGCTGAATAATAACACAGTCACTTCTGAACACACTTATGAATGTAAAGAGATCATAGCAGCCACTAATTAATTTAGTATAATGTATATAAGAAGCCGGCGTACGCCTGTAATTGTACACTGACTCAAGCCATCTTTGAATCACAATAGCAGATGATAAAGTGCTAATTATTATAACTAACTGAATAAGAAAGACTGTACAGCACTAATTACATACACATACTATGTATAAATTTGTGCAGAAACATCACATGTACAGATTCATCTATATAATAGTGATATTAATTAAAAACATCACTGAACATTAATTTACATGATATTAAATTATATAAAAAAGGTTATTACTGTGAAAGATACTTGCAGAATCTCTCTATTATAAGCTCTGCTTATATATAAGTATAATGAAAGAATAATAATAATAATAATAATAATTAAAAATATACAGATCATATACTTATCTTATACTGAATTATCATTATATAAAATACATAGTAACAGAAGTTTTAGACAGTTATAACTACTGTCTTAATACTCTGTCAGAGATTTATAATATATTTTATATAAGCTTACTCTATCACACTGCTACTAACTCATTCTCTTCTTAACTGACTTCTGACTGATAATTACCAGAGATTATAGAAGAAGATAATGAACTTGAGTAAGAGATTAAAGATATTTTTAATAAAAGATCTCACAGCTGTGACTGATAATATCTTATAAAATGAGTTAATTATAATCTTTCAATCTGAATCTCAGACTCTGTACTATCTGATACAGCAGCTCTTGACTGATAAGAACTATGCTTACTTCTAGAAAGAAGAGACTAATGCAGCAGACTGTGCTCAATTATAAGACTATTTTAATTACACTTCATAGATTTCTGCTAAAAGCTCTGATTCTCAGTCACTGATTCTCAGCTGAAGAACTCACAGAGTTTCTATTCTTTCACTCTAAAGCTTTATCTTATATGCATATAAATATTCACTCTGAATGCTGATTCTCACACTTTCTCTTTTTATTTTTCTTCTCTAATGTTTTTCACTTTTGTTATATAAGATCTATATATTAATACTGATCTATTCAGCGTAGGCCTCTTACAATAACTAAGAATTCAAATATATTCTTTATCTGAGACTAAATTTTTATTTGAAAAGTGAATCTGAGACCTTTAATATTTGAAATAAAGTGATTTAAGATTAATGTGATGAATATAAATCATGATCAGAAGTAATGCTTTTAGGCAATGTGACAACTGTAAAGTTTGATCCTGGTCCCAGACAGTCACACGTTGTAACTCAGCTTGAATACTATTTATACATTTAATCTCTACATTTATCTTTCTATCATGAATACTCCGTACTTCTAGTAGCTATCAGTACATATCATGCCAAGCTGCGAACCACTGAATAATCGCCTGCGAGCACTTATTCTTACACTGGAAGGGATCTGTGCCCATACGGGATCAGTCCTTTGAAACACGCGAGCGGCGTCTAAACAACGAAGATCGCACCCTATTCCTAAACTTTCTCCGAAGGGCATTACGCTGGATGCCAGAGGAGAGGCCAACAGCGGAGGAACTAGCTTATGATGATTTTCTCATGCAGCCGCTGGTGGAGTCTGGTGCAATTTCTTCTGAGGAAAGCTAGAGAGATTCATCTCCTTGCACTACATCTTGTTGATAGAACCAACCCCTACTTCTCAGATAGCATAATACTGGTTAATCGTCATTATCTGTTTGGGCTATACATTCGTTTGATCTGATTTGACAGGCATCTAGATTACCTTGATTTGTGGGCGACTCGATTTGATAGCCACATGATATTACATAAGGTGAAATAGACCCTTCTCTGCCTGGTAACTCCGTCCGTACTCATAAATTTCCTTCCCCCCGTCGTGATACGAAAGGATCGTAAATAAAAAGGGGATAAAAATCAAACAGAGAGGCGGAAGGTTTATGCTCGATTATTCATAACCTAATCTTCCACTTCCATCTCCCCATCCCCATCTCCATCTTCCTCCTCCTCTTCCCTGCCCTCTGAACTATCGATATCAAATACAGTATACCTTAACCCATCAGCGTACAAAACACACACAGCCCTTCTTCCCTTCCGCCCATTAACCTGCATCTCAGCTGGCTCCATACCCTCCTGCTGGAGGAAAGTATGCCGCACAAATTCCGCATGTTGTTCCGGGTTCGCGATATCTAGGTGCGTCACCTGCTCTGCGGGTACCACGGAATCTAGGGTAGCGGAAATCCCAGAACCATCTTCGCCTACTCTGATGTAATTAGGGTGGAATATAGCATTCGAGTTGGGGGTGTAGGGGAAGCTGGTGAGGTGAGTGTTTCCCGAGTCAGATAAGAGAAGCATTAATGTACCGTCTTCGACGAATTTTATCTCTGTGATATTACCTCGCTGTAAGTTGATTGCAGCGAGGAGCGTGGCTTTCGTTGAACTGACGCCGTTGATTGTATCGATGACAACTCGATATATATAAACTGTGCAAGAAATAAGACACGTAAATATCTGATAGGAAGGGTGAGGATCGGGATTTCATGTGTCTAGCGCTTACATATCCATGGGGAGCTTTTTGATTTCGACGCAATGTATACAGATGGGTACGTAGAGTCCTCGAAAGGCTAAGGATGCCAGTAATGTTAACAGTCCCGTCAAAATATCAAAGCATCGCCAGGGCTGAGAAAGTTCTTTTCAGCTTACCCCGAAATTCATCGTCATATCTACAACTCCCGCATCACAATCAGGCCCAAGAGACAACGGCGACCGGTGGAGGATACCTCGTCGCTGCGTCTCCGCAATCTGTGTGAACACCTTTTCACTCTGGAGTCGAAGACGAGAAGTCAGATCGCTCAGCAACGGCATATCGATCTGATCTGACCCTCTCTTATCCTGCTGCTGGAGTAATTTCTTATACGTTTCATAAAACGAGCTGTCTTGCCCTGTCGGCTCCCATCGGTTAGGAGGCGACTGTGCTGGGACAGGCTGGATGAAATCCTGTAGAGCACTGCGAGTCATTGCTCCTTGGATGTAGCTTAGTATCTGCCCGTGGTCGAGCGAATCGCTGCTCTCTGTTAGCTCTTCATAAGTCGCAGATAGCGGATCGGCAGCCTGCAGGTCAACCTCATGTTTCAACCATTTTGCAAATGCGGCGAACTCTCGAAGCTCACGGCTACTATGTATGAGTACTTTATGGGAGAGTAGGTTAAGGCAGTCCACAGTGTCTTGGCATTTCTCAAGGTCTGTAGTTTCCAGCCCGAGAATCGGGCTGAGCTTGTGGAATTTTGAGAGCCCTATTAGCCGGCTCAGGAGGACTCCACATCTTTCCAGTGCTGGCAAAAGGCATTCGTGGATCAGTCGTCTCAGTGCCTCGTAGCCGGATGTAACTGCCTTCTCCCAACGTTTATAGCCCTAAATATGAGTTAAAAACTACATCTATAGTATGATTTATACAGGATTACTTACATACCCTATCGCCAAGGACGTCTACGAGAAACTCCTTCAGTGGTTGGAAGCAGTCTCCAGTCACAAGTAGGTGGTATGCGGCTGTCACAAAATCGCACGCGCACTTGTCTTGTAAATCTTCTGTTACATTCCGGATATACCGCCCCGGAAGATCCTGAGCATTTTTCCACTCGAGTTGTATCTGTGCCTGGACTTGCTTGATATACCGTAGCAAATTTTGTAACTGCGTGATTTTCGATGCGAGGAGCGATAAGTACCTTCCGGATTTCGTGATAAATCGCAGATCGAGAGTGACAAGACGCAAACCATTTCCCGTGGAGAACAAAAGGGAATGTGTAGAGCTAATGGGATGAGAAGCGTGAAGTAGAATCTTGCTAGCGGTAGAGCCTCCAAGAGAGCTCCCAACATGAAACGAGCCAACATCGAAGCAGTCAAATATCCGTAGATGAATAGTGCCGTCGTCGAAGCCAGCTAACAAGACATCGACAAAGTCACCTGTGTTTTTATTGGTTGCATGAAAGATGGAATCAATCGATGCTCGAGACCCAAAGACATCGTCGCTACGGAAGATGTATTAGCGAGAGAGAAAAAAAAAAAAATATCACCTGAGCATATTGCAACACAAAACCAAAATGAAAGGCTCACTCATTCCCCGTAGACGGCAACGTGCTCAATTTAGGCAAAGACCGTTCCATATCTAGCATAGCCAGCTCGCGCGGCAAATCCGCCTTCAACTGCGCGATTTTCGACAACTGCATTTCCGTCGATAGAAGATCATCAACGGTAAGCCTTCCTTCCGCATCCTGAAGGCTTTTCAATGCGCTCTTGCCATCGGTAAAGTTCATTCCCCAGCCAAGGCAAGAAACCGATAGGGCGGGGCCCGCTGGAAATGTGGGAGAAGATGTCGGTGCGGACGCAGTTGAAAAAGATGCCGCTGAGGGACCACATGGTAATTGATGTACGGTCTTGCCGCTATACGCACTTAAGATGCGGATGATGTTGTCAGAACAGACGACGGCGAGGAGATGACCTGGTTGTACCTGTTAGGTTCGGAACGTAATGTAGGGAACTCGCAGGCGAATGAAAGTATAAAATTGGACATATAATATTTTAATCCGTAAATAGTAGAAGAAAAAAAAGGAAATACACCCCTTACCGCTGCCCTTCCACTTGATCCTTCGTACTTCGCCTCCACCACGGCCACGTCCACCCTCACCATAAACACCCCCAAACACCCGCTGCCCATTCAGCCTGAAAACATCCACTCGTTCATCCACGCTAGTCACCGCGACCAGGTCCATTGTTGGACAGTACGCCATTGATCCGGGCTTGCATTTTGACGTGAGCGTTTTCTCAGCGACTGATGCCAACTGAGGCAGGTGTGGGGAGTCCATCATGGTCCAATGGGCCAGTTTGAAGAGGGTAATAGGGAGAAAAATGAAACGTGAAGACGATGGAAAAAATTGGTTATTCTAAGCTCCTCATGCCCGTGATCCTGACGTATCACTATGTTCTTCTTGACCCTATTCCACGCGCTCTAATTGGGTTTAGGAGTCTGGATGAAATGGTGCTGACTTTCCATTGAGATTAATTGGGAGGTTTTGCCTGTGGGAATCTAGGCATGATCGTGTAATTATTTAATTAGGGGTGTTGGATCTATAATGGCACTGTGTTGTTGGGGGGAATGAAGTCAAAAACTGTGTTGAAGTGTTGTGTTGAGAAGATCAGGTGTTAACTAAGTTAACTTACGTGGTTGCGCCCACAAAAATTCCGAATATAGATAGTTTTATATTTGCATCTCATTAGCAGCAGCGATGCCATTTGCACACATGTCAACATCACAACAGCAAGCGCGTAACGGTATTGTATATTTTTAATTCCACTTTCAAACTGCTCCATTATTTCTCCATCAAGAGCTTAAAAGTTAATTAGCTATAGCCTATTCTACGCCATTTTAAATGAGGAGCACAAAGAGCAAATATATCTAGGAAGCAGAGATGTAATGTACAGAGGGTTGAAAGAATTCCAACCCACAGATCATAAAAGCCTCTATTATTGATATTATTCTTATATTAACAATGTTTCCAATCCCCTATAACATGTATATATAGGGTAGCCATTATGCGAATCGCAAATCGATGTAATGTTGCCTTAAGTTACTTCATCCCTGTATAACCGGAGAGAACGCCCAAACTCCTTCCTAACAACATAACCGATTAGGACTAGATAGAAAATCCAAGCAAGCTAAAATGAGATATGGTCTATAATGACGATACGGAAAAGAAGGCAAGAAATACAGAAGACATGCCAACAGATGTATGGTGACGCCTTCCGGTGACTCCTTATTCGCGAAGAGATGGGAGTCCATGTATGATCGCATGATGCGAACGATATATTGATAAAAAATTAAAAAAGGAAAAATGAATAAGCGCTAAGAGTTATATCTTCTGGGGAAATGTTGCACTATTATTTAACAACTCTTCACCGCGTTGTCCTCGATCACACCGCCCAAGTAACTCAACTCATCCATTAAATCCTGCATCGTAGACGACTTGACAGAGCAGTTTTTTGGCCGCCGCTGTTCGTCGCCGCCACGACTCGAGATTTGCTCACTGTCCTTGTTGTTCAGCTGGCCACGGCGATTTGCAGGGTTTGCGCGGGGAGTGCGGAGCTCGGGGTTATCGTCCATAACGAATGAATTGGTCTTGGGTGTAAAATTGCTATGTTTTAATATTAAGCTCGTCCAGGAAGGGGTTGCGGGGTGTGCATCACTAGCTTTCCGGCCGTGGTTGGTGGTTTTATCGGCTTTGGGGCTCCATCGTTCGACTTCATTGCCGGGAGAATTGGAGATGTAAAGGGCGGATAGGCCAAGGTCTCCAGAGCAAGACCCGGAAGATTTAGACTCGCGATGCTGGTGCGCGCTGTTTATATATACGTTGGGCTGCGGGGATGTATTCGAAGCGATATCAGAGAGGGATGAGGGGGGAGCAGATGGATCGGTCAGTGCGGCTTCGAATGCCACCTCATTGTCTTCGTAGGCGGTAGAGGAGAATGTATTGTCGTTATTAAATGTCGATGCAGATGTCATAGAGCAGGGTGAAGCGTTATCTGTATCTGTACTGTATTCTGAGAAGCGACTGCCACCGGGCTGGAGGAAAGAGTCCGGAGAGTACGAGTTATCGGGAGAATCAGCAGTGAAGTCGGAGAAGTGGCTCTGGAGGTATTCTTCGTCGCCAAGGGAAAGATGCGCCGTTTCTGCTGAGTGAAATTCCGCGTCGATGGCGGAAGTCGGGCTGTGCGGGAGGCTTGGCAAACGTTTCCCATTCAGGCCCAGCGGAGATGACGTTTCTGGACCAAGCATGTCACCTCCCGATTGATGTGGAACAATAACCCTGGGCGTACTTTGTTGAGCCACCGACTCTTGATACGGATCGATGTCAAGGTAGCGGGTTCGTTCGGTCGCTCCAGAGTCAAGTCTATGAGCCAATGGATCCTCAACGGCCCATGTGTTTTTCAAAGGTGATGGCCTCCGGCTTTCTCCAAGGAATTGATTCCGACTGGAATACTCGCAGGGCTCATATCCATCGGCAACATAAGAATTTTGGGGGAGGGGCAAAGGTTTGTTGAGACTGTCCGCAATACTCCACGTGGGAGATAGGTTATTGCAGTGCGTGATTGAGTACGATTCTGGTTCGGGTACTCTTATGATATGACTTTTCTCTATTTTATGGTGACGGCGGCCTCTGCTCTCCTCGTTCTCACCGAACCGCGGAGAGGTAAAGTTCAGGATGGCGGATCGCAGAGAATTAGCCTTGGGGGAATGGTTAATTGAGATTTTTAGGTCTAGAGATAATTTGCCTCCAACACGGATTCTTCGTCGTGTTGATAGGGCGCGAGGATGGGAAAATCTTCTTTCGTTAACGGGGGGTAGGGAGGATCCGGAAGAAAGGGGGGATGTTAAACCGTAGCCTGTACGCATGAGCTTTGCTGGCGATGTAGTGAGACGAGGTAAAGCGGGCCTAGGTGGAGCTCTCGGGTTCATATATTTGTCGGCAGGATCCATAGTTTCATGGTTGGATATTCGGGAGCCGGGCCTGGTACCGCGTCCAGGATGTGTTTGTGACGATGGCAAATGGATAGGAACATTGAGAACGTTCAGAGGTTGACCTGGCAAAAGCGCACACGAAGTAGTCACTGGCTCGGCCTCATTGAAGAAATCAACTTCATTGTCAAGTTGGTACTATGATTATTGGTTAGCGGTCTACGTTTCTGGAGTTCCTACATGATAATTTAACTCACATAATACCAATATGTACCACCCATCCTCAGACCGCCATCCCTTCCTGGAGCCGATGGTGTGGTTTCGCCATCACATATGATATTGGTAAAGGTATGGCATCCTTTCCAATGGCCCCTGCCCATCCGACTGTCTTTCTCCATCGGATATGCCCTCGTGAAATTGTCCCATGATCCAAACAGCTTGACAGATCTAGTATTTGGGGGAGTGCGGCTGGTTCTCCGTCAGTAGCAAGCCAAAAAGACAGCAAAGACAAGTCAATCTTACACAAGAAATGTCATCAAAGTCGTGCATGAGCTGTTCATGTTTGCGTCGAGCTATGCAAAAGGAGTGTACATAGAGAAGCGATTGGAATTGCCCGAGAACGAATTGAGCGCTGAAGGAGTGTAATCTGGATCCAGCCAGCCAAAGCTCCCGAAAGAAAAAGAAAAACAGTTCTCCTTCCCCTAACGAAACCCCAAGATCGATCTAGACGAAAAAACGAAGGGCCCGGTCGGTTGGATATCAACATTTATACATCCTAGCAGATATACTATCTTATATATACAAATGCCTCGAATATATTTAAACCGGCCAAGACGCAGCCCACGCCAATTCACGAGCCCTCGAGTCGCGCCAGCACCGATTCTATTTTGGGTATCTGGTTTCAACCCGGTAACGACGTGCCTCTGGATGAAATTCTGGCACGCAAGCAAGGCCGGTGGTCAAGGTTCGAGGGGATCCAATGATCGGGCCGGGCGATGGCGGAAGCGCTCCAGATTTGAATGGGGATTTAATTATGCAAGGGAATTCCTGGCGCTTGCTGAGGGAGCAAATGGGATGGAATACTCAAGTTAGTTCAAAAGATACTCTTGGACATGCCAGGAGATGAGCTTATATTTTGAAAGAAACAAACGCTCCCCAGGGACAGGCGTCTGTTGAAACGAAAAGAGCACAGCCATATATGAAAATGTGGAAACTCGGTATTGGCCCAAATATGATGAGAAATAGACCAGCATTTTAGGTGTGGCTTTGGTGCCACTGCTGATGGATAGGTATCGTCACTGGCCAACGAAGTAGACTTTTATTATTTTCGCAAAACTTAACAAGAGGACAAAGCTGACGATCGGGAGGCTGGAGCTGGCCTCATAGAGTCATAATTCCAACCAGTCTATGAACTAGTTAAACACCCAAGGTCTGAGCAGTCGTACTACAGAGCGCGGAGTGGACCAGCGGCCCACCAGGGCTGGCCCTGATCAATGACGACGTGATCACGGATTTCACAGCCGATGCGGACGTTTCTCACCCACCCGGAATCTATAGCATGTCGTTTTCTGCGGGACAATAATAATCGTCGCTATCATCGCAAAGAATCATACCTCTGTACTCCGTACTTCCTGCGAACGGTCCGAATCCATGAAGCGCCGCATCCTGATGAGTAGTCCAGCGCTGACCCCTGTTTAGAGCAATAGTTGGGGCCACGTTTGGTAGGCTGAGAAGCTGTGGTGCGGTGCTAAAGCCAATAAATTACCGGAGCATGGCTAGATAGATGCTCGTACGGTGAAATTCCCAACCCGGGCTCCAAACACATTCCAGCAATTGGGCGCCAGTTTCGGTAAAATGAGGGAGAAAGCGGCGGCGGAGGTCGGTTTGTTTTGTTTCAAGTTTCAAGCAAGGAAACTTACGGCGGTTATTCAAACTGCAGCATGCCATCAAAAATAGGTACAGTGTAAATATAGATAACTAGTATTTAGTCAACCTTCTCCGTGCCTGCAGGAGAGAGTAATCCGTCCTTCGTACCCTACCCCGCGGAGAGTCTCCTATCTTCTTGTTTGAACCTCAGCCTGGGGACATCAGCAAAGGCCCACTTGGCTGTCCCCAAGCCAGTCAATAATCGCCTGCTGTCGTGAGGCTATGAGAACTGAGATGGCAAAATGACTGGCAAATCAGCAGGCGGCATTCATCCAGGCTCGTTTTGCGTTCAAGTTACCCAAGCCACAACATGGCCGCGGACGACGCTAATGTGGGAGTGTCAATTGGGTGCTTCGGACCCTAGATAGGGGTCGGTTCCCGGATAGCTGCGACAGGAACTTTGGCGCCACGATATTGGCATATTTAAATTGTTAACCTCGTAGCACGGTAGCAGTACTCTGAACGCAGCGTACATCTGTATGTTTGCCTTTATGGTTCTGGGGAGGAGTTCCAACTGAGGGTTTTTGTTTTCCTTTGCGGCGTGTCGCGTGTTGCCGAGGTTCAGCATTTAACGCGATGATGCTCTGATGATTTTGCAGAGTAACTACGTAGTACAGAGTAGACACAGGGAAATTCCCATTAATTGATTGATTGATCGTCAATAATTGCACTAGTTACCTGTTGCTAGCGAGAGAGTTTCATGTCTCTCAATTTAATATACTTCCATTCTGCGCAGTCCGCACAGACTAGGGAGTAATTACTCCGTAACTATTTGATTCCAGAATAGCCAAAATGTTGCCATGGACTATTCATCATCAAAGTCGACTTTGCCAAACTCCCCTTGTCTCTCAGCTCAAGTCAGCAAGTATCTAGTATTTCGCAAATTATTTCGGTTCTCAGCCCCGGATATCCGTACGAAAAGACCCCGGCATGGCATATCCTGCTGCGAATTGCACAGAAAGGTCGTGCCGTACCCTCTGGTCTGAGATATATTTTAAAGTCTTGTACAAAAAATGTTGTGCTGACGATATGCCGTGGTGACATTACCATTGCATATGGGTGGAGAATTAATTCTGTCTCCGATTGATGAGGAGAGCGAGAAAGAAACGCTGCCGAAAATATCAAATTCCATACATATCCTGACCCTTTGAAAGCCAAAAATTCTTGGTGATCTTTTTCTGCTTGGTTCCATGGGGTATCGGGTATATCAAGCTTGAACGCGGCCTCTCCGGCATAACGGGAAGGCGAAAATATTTTCTACGACGAACCTGTCAGCGCAACAGGCGGTACCTGAGCAACAGTATCTGCTATCTGCTTGTGCAGTGTTCGTACGTAGGTACAGGAGGGCTTCTTCCTGCTGCATATCATTAATTACACAAGACAACATCGCTTGTGTCCTGTCATTCCGGAATTGGAAAATGAAACATTTCCATTTTCTACATGTGTGATTGGGCCTGCACATGCACTTTTTCAGAAACTGATTCTGGTTGCATACTTGTTTTCTGATTATTGCTGCTATTTGTCGCCAATTTCTGGTGCATGGATTACGAATTACAAGGCGCTAGTTACTCATTTGGTATTCTTCTTTTTTTCTCTGTTTTTCTGATAGCATTTATATGGAGACTGACTGACGATTGGTTGATAGGCAGTGAACGTCCTCTGGTAGCGATTTAGCTATCTCGAGAGCAGAGACTTGAAAAGTTATAAGGCAAAATTATATGAATATGACGGTATGAGATATCTACAACAGAAGTGATAAGAAAATGACATTGTTTTTAAGTGTTGGAAGTGCTCAGGGCACCATTCGATACGAATACAAGATCCGAATACGAGGGAATCAAAAATCTGAGGGGATCCTTCACCCAATAATAACCGAAATGAAAATAAAGCAAGTTGGGATGAGTAAATAAATACGTGATAAACCTGTTAAGGTATCCCGGAATGGGAACAAAGGAGGAAAAAGGGAAGAAAGAAGGACGGAAGAAAGAAATGGAGGAACCACTATCTGCCCCCCGCTTTGGAAACAGCTTGTCGGTCGTATCTCTTATCAACCCCTCCCAGCATGATCTTCAAAATCGTGTTCGATGTAAGGGCGGCCCCGCTCCACGGTGCTGTATCAACGATGTCCCGAATGTCGTATCGCTTGTGTAGGATATCATCGAGGCTCTGGAGCCACTTCTTCGCGGATGGATCATCGCCAACTTGCACAAATTGGATCCCCACTTGCCACGGTTTCGCGTCGCATTTGTCCAGCCGTCTCGCTGCGTTGACCACCACCGTTTCCACATCGTCAGTGGGGATGCCATCTGTGATCACGATGATGTTAATCGGTTTAACAGGTGACCCGCTAAATCGGCTAGAAGGAGCTGCCTTCGACATATCTTCGACGCGTTTCAGATACGGTTTGAGGATGTCATACAGTCGAGCTCCCACGGGCGTTCGTCCCGATGGATGAACCCGATCAAAGAGCTCGTTAACAGCAGCGGATGTTTTGATTCTCAGGAAGCCTCCGGTTGCTGGCTCCGCCCAGTTATTTTCGTTCAAGAAGTATACATCCACGCCATCGTCGTCAAACTCGGCGCAGATTGGAGCTATAGCTGCGATTGTTTCTCTGGTTTCGTGCCATCTGGAGCCTATCATGCTTCCGCTGTCGTCGACAACGAGGATGGTGTCGAAGTCACGAAGAAAGGCGTATGGCGAGGTATCAGCGGCGCATTCCTGAGCGTATTCTATGGTCTCATGACTTCGTACGCTGTATTGCTGATCTCTTTCCGTGGGCGAGTAAGCTGGTGGCAGATCAAGATGAGGTGATTGGTCTTGCGAAGACGCCGGTTGATTCGCCCAGTCATATATCTTGCTCTTCCCCTTCTCCGCCCGCTTGATCCCTTTCCTCAAGGAGCGCATGAAGCCGGACATTTTCTTTCTTTCTTTCTTCCTTTGTTGATATATGGCAGTTGGTTGTTTGAAAGTCGGACAAGCATATACGCGCGAGATGTAGAAAAAAAATAGATCGAGTTTATCGATTTATCAAGTAGTGTATAATAGGAGTTGACAGTAGACAGAATTTCAAAAGTCCTCTGAAAGTGTTAGCATGAGAACCACAACGGTTGACTACTGATTTAGATGGTAAAGGAGTGAAATTGAATCATAAAGAAACGACAAAAAGTGGGACAAGCTCCTCTATTTTATATACCACTTTTTTCTAATGGCCTGAAGCAGTGAGGCAGATTCCGTTGCGGGAGGTCATGCATGTTCTGCATGGACGGTGCAGCCCTAAGCCACTGCGTCTTGCCCTGATTGGTGCTGGCATAGCCCTAATTCGTGCTGTCAGGTCGCCTTGTCGTCAACCTCCCTGGACGCGGGGCTATCCAGAGGTGTTATTTAACAAGAGTTTATTTGTTAAGGTGGATTCGTGAATATTCCCTACTTGAAAGCCCGGTACGGCAGAATCTGGGCGTCTACATGTCGCTGGTTCGATGGCAGGACTTCTGAACCTGAACCAGCCCACCTCCATCCATCCAACCGGTCTCTGAAACGTAGCAAGGCCGAGAAGGCATTGTGACCATCGAGGCCTGGAACTTTCCTGGGACAACCTCACGCACTTTCAGTTGATCTATTAACCATTACATCCATGATGGAGAGATTTGCCGAACTCTATTAGTTCTACAAGCGTAGCCAACACACTACTACCCACCGCCCACCCGGCTTGCATGCGTGTATAATTTCGCCTTATCAAGAAAGAATACATGCGAAGGCATACCTATATACACCCCTCGCTGTTATCGGAAATATCCTACCTTTCATTACTCTAGCATCCCCGCCCAGCCAACCACCAACAGCATGGCTATGAACCCACAAGTCCAATTTGGATTTATCAGCGTCCTGCCCCGCGAGATCCGAGACTCGATTTACCTCGAGCTATAGCACTCCTACAAACTTCCCCCACATATCCTATGGCATAGCAACTTTACCAACGCCAACAATTCACATCTCTGCCGTTGGCAATGTACTACAGAGTACCAAGTGGAAGACCAGCTACAGCAGGACATCGAGGCGTTAAGGAATCAGCTTGGTGTTCCCCTTGATCACCATAAGATAAATGTTGAATACAGCCGCCGGCTCAAATCCCCCTATTTGAATCCCTCGGCTTGCGGCGAACTTGCTGCGGAATTACACGGTGATCAGGCAATGTGTACATTTTCGGTTTCGGGAGTGACTTGTGAGAAGAAACGGCAGCGAGGAAACAATGATGTCCCGACCCGTAGTGCTTATATACCCATGCTGTTATAGTGCAAAATTATGTGTGTATTCGGGAGAGCATGACTCCTTCAAGTAGTGAGGTATTGTACGTATGCTAACCTGCTATAGCTCCTCGGAATGCCTGTTATCGATATATGGGTCGACAACGTTTGTACTCGCCGACATGCGATCTCTCCAGGCCTTCAGTGGATACTGTGAGAAACCGCCTCTTCTGAAGAAAATTCAGGGAAGTTATTTCACCTCCCGCTCTCCTCAGATGCACTAAACACCTGGAGGTGTCATTAACTCCGAACTTCTCCCTGGCGCAGGCCTGCGCAAGATCCGGATCTCCACAACCCTCAGGAACTCTCCACGACGTCTATGACTTTCATTGGCTGTTTCTTGATCGGCTCTAGTGCCTTAGGAGTATCAAAATCCGGATTACTGCCCATGCACATGTGGTCATCGTGGACAAATACCGCTGCTTTACCTCTGTTGCTGAACCCGGCGTTAACGCTTTGAAAAATGCTATCCTATTTTGTAAAGGTTGGCTCTGTCACTATCAGCGCACCCTTAAGCAAAGACATCCTGCCTAAAGATGGGTATGTTGAAGAAGATATAACCCAATCGAGCGTTCACCTCTGGAAAAGAGGCGCTGGTGACAAGTTACATCCGCGCCTATGGCCCATGCGTCCTGGCAACCCAGGTGAGGGTCAAATATATTCTGGTACAGTTAGGTATGTTCACGCGCTCGTCCTACCAAGGTGGAAGTTGTTGACTAGTTATGACATTATATAAACGGGTCGCCATAGAGAGGTACGGGCGGGTGGAACGATTATAAACTGAACAAGTGGGAAACGGAGAACGTCAACACACGCCCCCTTATTTAGGAAGATCGACTGTACAATCCCGTTCATAATTGGCGTACGAAGTGTCCTATGAACTTGACAGGCAAGCCAGGTTTTAGATGCAATTGCGAATAGTACCCTATCCTGTAAATGTTCGAGGGATAATCAACATCCTGAATTTCGTCTTGAATTTCGTCAAACGTGACACAAGTTCCCTTAAACACCATCTCAAACGGACTAAAGTCAAGAGATGATCCATCAGGATCGTTGACGTCTAGAGATATATTCCACCTCTGAGGCCAGTCAGTCGATGTTATGCCCACTGCAAGATTATCACTAACATGTCTAGTATAGCTTTCCTTGGAAGAGGATTTGCCTCTGGGTCATCAGACCTCAGGGGTACGGTAATACCCAAGGGGATAACTTCCGCGCGCCCACGGTTGGGCAGTATCACATCTTCACCGTGTCCCACAAGATTTGAGACAAGTTCGGCCCCGGTTTTGACATGCATTTATGGCAGCCCTTTACATCCTCGCTCACATCCACCGCCTTCAGCGAGAGAGCTTTCTCTCAGTAGGAGTGAATAGTAGGCGCAAGAGTAAAAGATTATAACGTACTACTATTCCCTTCGCTAAACACAGCCTCGTTTCATCATTGATCAATTCGTTCCTCAGATCAGTGGAGGGAGACTAAGGGTGAGTCCGTAACGAGCCATGCTTCGGTATGGGTGCCATTGAAGTAGGATAGATTCGGGCGGTGCCAACAACACTGCTAACACGCGACACAACACATCGATTATTGCCCGTCTTTGAAACTAGGGAGTGTAAGTTGTGACCTTCCATTTCGGGTGTGATGCGAGTCCAACCAAATTCCCCTCTCCACTTTTGAACATCTGTGCTAGCGCGAGGGTGTTGAACTTGAAGTTGGCGGACCTGATAAATCATAGTAAGCTAAGATAACCCAGTAAACCCTGGTTAAGATGAAAGCTAGCATCCAGAGCCTCTCGCGGATCTATTCGCCTTCAGTATATATCGTTTTGCCATGACAAAAAAGGAGGTCCTCCAAGCATCTGAAACCAGCCTGGGCTTCTTGTGGGGCTGGATTAGATAACGTGGCATTAAGCCCTCTCTTGGCCAAATGTTAGGCTTGACCAGGTTGCAGCATGAACAGTCAAGGTGAGCAGGTGATGGTGGAGGAATCTTCGGCTTTGCTGACGGAAAATAATGGGAGTCTTGCAACGAAACTGAGGTCGGGAAAGCCATGGAGTGGTCACATACATAAGAACCTTGGAATGCAAGAAGCACTCGACCACAGCAGGGAGAAGGGGTTCAAATCGATGACTTTAATGAAAAGCTATTATAATAAGAGTACAAACTTGAAGTCACAGACTTCAGACTCTACGCATAGTAATAATAATACTCCCTGGAGATCTAGCTTCGGGGATAATATGCTCAGCTTCTTCGTATAAAAAGCAAACATCACTCCCAGGCTGATCTGTCTAGTAGTGAGGGGGTGTGATTATCAAGAGTAACCTAATAAGTAGGGCGTCTGTACGGAGTAACTTAAGTTACTGTGCAGACATAAAATAAACTCTCGTTGGGTCTGAGCGGACTTGCCACATGGTTTTTAGAAGCCATGCAGCAACTCGCCCCCACTCTGTAGGGCATGCTCGACAGATCTGCGATGAGGATGCGGAAACTGTTGAAATATCCATTATTTTGAAATAGAGGCTACATCTTGAAGATCCGGACGGAACAGCGAAATGGCAGTTGCACGAGTCAGAGCAAACTACTCCGTAAACAGAAAACAGTAATATGTATCTTGGTTGGAGTTCCAGACCAGTCAGGGACGCATCTTGAATATTCCAAATCTGAGATTTTCCAGCGTTCATCATAATCAGGAAAAGCTTCGGATTTTCCTGAACAGAGAATCAAGGATGCTTCGCTTGTTCTGGCGGAATAGCACCAATCAACGTCGCGACTGTGCGCGCTGTTAAGCGAGGTGATAGTAGACATTAACTCCGATCCCAGGCGGAGTCTGCACAAAAGCATCGGGGAATTGCAAGCCTGTCAGGTTCGGGCTCCAGCCAACTACAGCTGTGGGAAAATCTTTGCGATGCCTTCTGATGACATGGGTCTGGATGCTACCGCTGGCGCCGCGCCAGTCCAGATTACAACGTAACGGAATCATGAGGACGGCAAGCATCCGGTTGACACTGTCCTACGGCCCGCAAATCGTTATATAATGAAGACGGAATGCCAGACACTGCTATCTCCATACCAATTAACTCTGTCAGTTGTCTGCTGTCCAGCTGATGTAGTAGCGCTCGCGATGGTTTTCAGACTGAAGTGGCCTTTTTGCGACAGTTTTACGGAAAACTTTCAGTTTGCATTCAGCAGCGCCCCTGAGACCCACAGGCATAATAGTGCGCTCACTAAGGAAACCTTCTATTCACCGTCTAAACTTGATATGGCAGGTTGCTCCTCTAAAAAGTGTTCGTCGAAGCCCTTCAGGCGACGGAGCAAACTTAAAATAAATTAGTCAATGGTATCGACGCGTTGATCGGAAGAATATCCCCCCCGGCTCCCAAAGCCTCACAAGCCAAGACGGTGACATACATATGAGCGCGCGGAGAGGTGCGATGATTGGAATTCAATCAGCCCTTTCCGCGCTACTTACTGCATAACCCCCACACGAAACTTTCTTCGAATCAACAGATCCCATAACTTGAGGCCATGACATAACGGCGAGAAACCACCTGTTCCTGATGCCTTGGGCTTCAAAACACAGCAAGCTAATATGATGCATACCGACTCTAGCCTTGGGGAAGTCGCTGAGGAGTACTCCGTACTGTACTAAGTCAACACGCGATATTTTTGAAGACGCCCCCAAGATCCCAGCAAGACCCCTCGCAGAATCCAGTGTTCGCGTGCTGATAGCAGCCACGATCCCAGGCGGCGGCGCGCTATATGGGGAAGGGAGCCCAAAGCCACCAATGGTAAGCTCTATCGGCGGCCCTGAGGCTTGAGATCGCGTGGAAGTTTCATCATGTTCTTATTAGTGGCTTCGTCCTATTTGCTCTCATGGAAAAGGGAACCAATGCAAACTTCTAGTGCCTTGTCCATCGCCTTTTTATAAAACAAGATAGACCTGCTGCAGATCTGATGCGAGATGTGGACAATTTTCGTTTTTCCGTGGATGAGAGGGGCTTCCTGTCGTGAGTTATTTATCTGCCATTATTATTCTTTATTATATTTGGTTTTGTTCTCCGGCCTTGCTTTCCGCCTCGTTTTCGAGGCTCCTGAGCGTGATGAGCGTGCTTGGTGAGCCTCCTCCCGGTATCGACCTCACGGAAAACCGCAATCGTGAATTCAATGCCTCCGCGGCAACAGTATATGGCCTTGCTGTCATTGCCGTTGCTCTCCGTTTCTATACAAGAACCAAGATACAGAACTTCGCAATTAAAATCGATGATTGGCTAATATTACTTTCCCTCGTGAGTTCTCCAGTAACCGGCCGGACTCTGATGGGTTGTTAACTATTTGTTTGCCAGTTTTCGGTAACATGCAGTTTCGTCCTTGCAATAATAGGTGAGGGTTACCTTGGGCAATTGAATCTGACTCTCAATATCCATTCTAACCGAAGTGGTTGATTTCAGGGGGTAATTATGGCCTTGGGAGGCATGTCTGGGTTATACCTCTGTCTGACGTGATGATTTTAATAAAGGTGAGCTGCAGGATAAAAAGAATTATTGAACAACGCGAAATAGAATCACTGACGACTTTTTGGTTGATGGAAGATCCATTATATATACATGTTCCTGTATATCCTCAACGTCCCACTCATCAAATTCTCAATCCTGTTATTTTATCGACGTATCTTTGGGATGAATTGGACGATGTGGGTCTGCTTTTTCCTTTCTGGCGGCTATTACATCGCATGCACCGTCACTCTCCTCGTTTCTTGCCAGCCTATATCCTATTACTGGACCCAGGTCGAGGATGCGAAGTCTGGACGTTGCCTCTTCCATCCACACGTCTTTTACCTCGGAAATGCAGCAGCAAATGTCGCTACGGACGTATTGATTCTTCTTGTTCCCATACCGCTGATCTGGAGGCTTCAGATGCCCAGAACGAAAAAGATCCTAGTATCCAGTTTGTTCTTGTTAGGCACCTTGTGCGTGATGTCCTGCTCCTGTCTGAGCACTATTCTTCTCACTAGAAGTTCCATAGCTAATAACCATTTGGCTGTTTTACAGTGTCTGCGTCGTAAGTATTGTTAGGATAAAATTTATGGGCGACCTCGCGAGAGCAAAGGACGTTACATTCATTCTCGTCAATATTTTCCTCTGGTCCTTCGTCGAGCCATGCCTTGGCATTGTCTGCGCCTGCCTACCAACCCTACGCCCTCTTCTCCAGCGGGTGAGCCGTTCTGTATTTGGGACGGAATTTGGGAAAAGCAGCAGTACTGGCCCAGGCATTACACCTGCGTTGGTGCGAACACAACAAAGTACTACGGTGGACGGGACCAAGAAGAGCGGGTTTAAACGAATTAAAGGAAATACAGTGGATGAGACGACATCTGGAAACGGTCGAATGCGCTTGCGACCGGCGGATGACGAGACTATGCTAACGACAGTCTCTGCGCATTTCGAGATGGATGATTTTAGAAGAAATGGGACCAGTGACATTGACTCGGAAAGTCAGACCCAAACCACACCTCCAATGGGTATCAGGGTGAAAACGGATTTCGGCTGGCAGGAGCATGTGCAGTAGTTTATTTGAGTTCCTATATTGTAATGAAATATATGAGGGTAGCACATTGCTTCTTTTTCCCCCTTCCGAGCTTTCACATAGCAGCGTTTTCAAGTTGAGTTCCTGTTCCATTCACTCCGCTTCAAGAAGTTCTAAGTCAATATAACTAGCATCCAAACGTCAAGGTACGAATGAAATAGTTCTGAGATGGGTGTACCTGCACCGGCCCATGGTCGAGAGCGGATGGGAGTAAGTAATTAGCAAATATCGCCAATTTTCCCAACGAGCATTGTCTACAGCGATAAGAACAAGCAGACGTCAGTTTGTCAGTACTTGCAGCTATCTTGCTAATGAAATCCACCACCGACCAGCTATGATTAAGTATCAGAAATTTGGCCGCTAGCAATTGTGATGATCTAATTAATACATTCTAAAAGAACGACCGGGGTAAGCAACTTCGATCCTACCTGGCCGACCCCATAACTTTTTTTCCGATCACCAAAGATTAAGGGGAAAAAATAACTACGATACCCGCTACAAGATACTAAGAACCCGGCTCCAGGTCCTAGTCATGGTGCATCTAGTTATCACCAAAATCGAAGCCTCAGACTGGGAGGAAATAATCGAAGGCCACTTCCGAGCGTTCCAACATGAACCCTTCCAGTTGCTCATCCATGGCGAGAACACCCCGCGCAACCGGCAGATCTTCATGGAGCGGAGCCTGAACCAGTTCGCCACCCAGAGTAACTCCATCTGGCTCAAGGCCATCGATACGAACAATAGTAATAAAATCACCGCAGTGGTCAATTACAAGCTGAATCCCGTGTACGTTCCCCTGAAGCGACCAGAGTTGAGTACGGATGATATGATATGGCTTGAGGATCCGGAGGATAAGAGCATTTTGGATACGATGTTTAAAGCCATTGTGGATCGGAAGCTGAGGCTATTGAAGGAGGGCCATATCCGTGAGTCTCCGCTTGTTTCATTTCTCTCGTCGCCGGCGTCTTCTAGGCTTGATATAGATCTACGCCCCTCTCCACCCTGATGTAAAGATCCTGCCCTGGCACAGATCGACTGGACGAGAGCAGATCAACTCAAGAATACCTGCGTGCTTCTTATGATCAGTGGTATACATCGGTCCACGTTCGGCGCCTATCCAGCTATATCCATGTATCAATGTTAACACCAGTTAACATTATTTCCAGAGCTAGATACCCTCTTCGTCCTCCCCGAATATAGGGGCCAAGGATTCGCCAGCCGGCTAATAAACTGGGGACGCGATCTGGCTAACCATCTAATGGTGCCTATCTGGCTTGAGTCTTCCATGATGGCGCACCCCGTGTATCTCAAGCATGGGTTTGTCGATATCGAGCACGACCACTATTTGATGGGCAAGTGGGACGTTGAGTATTACGTGATGAGGTGGGAACCGAAGGCGGCGGAGGACTAAATTTGAGATAAGTAACTAGTTACATATGTATGCCACGGCGAGGTTGACGGGGTTTGTTTCTGTGGTGGGTTTAAATGATAGCTATGAGATCAGGGACGTCAGAGCTTTGATTCTCAGCCAGCCTGTTTAGGGGTATAACACCTGGAAATTTCCCTGCACGACAATTTCCCGGAAACTAAAGATATCAAATGTTTGGATAGGGATTGGGGTTGTTATGTTAGTTATCATAGCAGTAATAGAAGAAGAGTCTGCTATGGCTTTGTGCTTATTGGAGAGAAATGGTAACATTGAGTGTCAGATTCCATGTTTGTTCGAGTGTTAGAAGGAAGCAAGCAGACCCCGTCGGCTTATGAAGCAGGATATTCAACCATGTACCATGATTCAATTAATTCTTGGGAATCACTAATATCTACTGTACAGGCGGTTTAGCCAGGCCCGAAAATTGAGTCAACTGGTGGTGAGTTCTCAGCTGCAATTTTACCCTTTCATACACCAACTTCTTCCCCCCAATATTGTGCAGCTTCATCAGAGAGCTGTGCATGCCCAAAGCTGAATCAGCAATCCTGTTCGTCAATAAAATGTGTCGAAGCAATTCTGCTCCGAGTTCCCCGTTTTCCACTACCACTTCGTAAAAGTCCTCGTCGGTAATCAATAAATCCACATTGTCCAAGACGAGTGCGAAGATTCCGTCGACGAGTTCGGTGTAGTTTCCAGTCTCGCATCGGTAAACCGCCTGAATCACTTCTATAAATGCTGGCGTTGCGGATATTGACTTTAGCCCATAAAAGGACGATACTTTTTGCTCAAGCTTGGAGCCAAAATATATCGAACCGGTCAAGGAGAGAGTATAAGCGGAGCAGTCGAAGACCTGTGTTTTCCTGGGAGCTGTCCGAGGAGCCTTCAAAATCGATTATTGAAGGTTCGGTCGGTATAGTGTAGTGATTTGTCTGGTCAACACCGTCAAGTAATCCCCTGATATCCTCATAACCTTCCGGCCAGAGCTCTGCAGAATATGTAGATTCGAAGCCGTATAGAATTGAAATTAATAATTCCAAAGAATCGGCATCCACCTCCGGGAGATGTATTCTTTTCGTAGTTGCTTCCTAGTAAGAAGTTAGCCAATTCGTTCGCTTGGTGAATTGCCACATAGCTGAAATGGAGAAGCAGGGACCGGAAGTAAAGGGACTCCATATGGGGGAAGAATTAGAGACATACCGCAAATCTCCCCCTTACTGCCCTTTCGAAAAATCGTGACTGGGAGCAAATGACGCTGGAATGAACTTTGTACTCGCAGTCTACACCGGATATTGTGAAATCCAAGCTCTTTGGAGGCTAGTCGAGTTGGGATATCCTTCCAGCAAGTTTGCGACCTCGAGAATTCTTCTCATCAGCATTGTTGTCGTTTTCAGGCTGCGTTTCCGGTGCGACGATTTTGATCCGAGGAGCATTTTCCTTGCTATCCATCATTCTATAGCGTTATGTGGAGTCTTTTCTGTAAAAGCAGTTATCGGAATCTCTTGGATAGGACATCCCACACCGCGCGGTAGAGCACACGATACTTATATTGTTCAAGTCGGAGCCTAGCTTGCGGATAGCCACCAGCACTGGGTCGAGGCAGGCAACACAGTCCGTGAAATGGAGGAACTGATCCACTCAGCAACTCCCGGTTTACCCACTTAATGAAGTTGGAGGCTTGCTTGCTCCCAAAAAAGAGCTGTGTATCCGTTTGGAGGTGCGGCACTTTAATTTAAATAGGCTTCCCTTTTTAAAGCCATAGTTACGTCGACCTTCAAGTGCCCAGGAATCACTTTGCTGGCGAAGATAGGAGGATATGATAATAAATGAAAATCGGAATGGAAATTGAGTCAGAATTGCTATCCCCTCTTTGTGATTTCAAACTGGCGGCCCTGAGATCATGGAAATAAACTTCCAATGCTCATTTTTGCAACCAGGAGGCTCATTGATGAGACTGCGTGAAACTTACTCCACTTTGGAAAATGGAGAGTCTATCCGGCCAGAGATTATCCGGCCAGAGTATTGAAAACACAAATCTTGTCATGAGCGCAGTCTGCACAGGAAGAAGGAATGAAGGGCCAAGGCATATTTATTCGCAGGCGGAGCACAGATTTAAGATTGTTCCCGCCTCTTGAGCTACGATATATCTAGCTGTTGCAGATTTGTGAGAGCAGTTGACCCAGCGTTTCGTGATCAAGAATTGAGAAAATAACAATACATGATTGGGGACTATATAATATTTTAGAGATTCGGGTCGCTAGCCAAAGGACCAATTAAATACATTAACGACGGCTATTCCTATTTAGCAGCTTGCGGATTGTTTCAATAACTACAACCGGAAAGCGAGCGGCTTGGAAGTGTACTCGGTGAAGGTAAAATTTTTAATAGCAGGAACGAATATTATATTACCCTTCAGCTCTGGTTAAAGAATCATTCAATACTAGTTAGAAACTTCAGGCCGGCTGTGACTGTGTATCATGGTAGCCATACGGATTTGCCAAAATTACTACAGCTTCGCGGACAGCTCGTCATCCTCAACATCAAATTCTGTAGTGCACAGAAGAAAGGTATCCCTCAAAGCCTAACGGTCCAGCTATATTAGAACCCATTCACATCTTGGTAATCTCTACGCAACATAATCCAAAAAGCGTCTCAGACTTACATTCAGCCGATGCTTGGAATTGATATCCTGATATTCATCTGAAGCCAACATGTCGCAGAAGTGTCGGATGGACGGATAATGAACAATAGCAATCTCGTTCCACCAGTCTCCCTCAGGTCGGTCTGGGTCTCCCCGAGAATCGCGCAGGCCCGCAGCAGGTTTAACGACATTGCCAACCAATTTCGCATCACCACCAATTCTACCGGCAACCTTAACGAATCCCTGATTGAAAGAGTCAATGGTCTATTGTCACTAAGGTGCAAACACCATAAACTCATCAATAAAAGTTGAAACACACCTGCCCATATTTATAGTACTCAGGTTTCCCACCACGGTGGAAATGTAGAAGATTAAGCATAGTCACAGGCTTGTCATGCGTCTTCAATAGCTCATCCATGAACCCAAGTAGATCAGGCGAGAGCTCCAAGTTCTGAGACGAAGGTTTACCCCGAGCAGCATCCAGAGAACCCGTAATGGGTACCGAAGTAGCTCCACGTTTCAACTTCTCAACGCGGCTTGGATATGTTGATATCAACTTTGACGGAATCCCCACGTTGACGGAATACTCACTTATAATATAAGCAGCTCGAAGGGGAGCGGGAATTGAGTTCTGAGGAGATCGTAGGAGGACTAACAGGTCCCATTTTGTAGTTTGTAGTGGGTTACTATCTAGGATGTTAGAACGGACGACCACATGCCTTGGGCGGGAGAACACCACGACTTCGACGCCTGGGGACTTCTTAAGCTCTTTCACAAAGCTTCTTGGGTCGGTGTTGGGGGTAAGAGATAGAAGGTGGAGCGTTAGAAGAGGCATGGTGAGCAGCACTTAGCGTAGATCCATTGAAATATCGTATGTAGATACTAAATGATTGAACAGATATGGCGAGTTTTGGTTTTATATAAATCAAGGCATTTCATCTGCAGCATGATGTATTGCCGGCGTGTCGGTATGCCGAGGTCCAAGAGATGGAGCGGAGAGGAGCGCCGGAAGCTTATTTGTCGGGCCGGACTAGCCCTAGGCGGTTCAAAGAGCCGCAATATCATCAGCGTGTTTGCTCTTTGTTAGTTTGCTCTTGCTTTGTAGGAAAATAAATAAAACTGCGGTTTCTAGAACTATTTTTGTCGTCATCACTTGCTGATTTCGGGTTCGGTGCGAGTCCATCATCTTGTGACGGCATAGGCGATTTTGTCCTTGCAGCAAGGAGCTATGGAGTTGAAAGTAGAAATGTAATAAATTCATCATTGGAACATCGATTACTCGAAATTCAACACCTATTTGATTGAATTATATATATGTGTATATAGTAAAGCTGACAGTAACCCATGGCGCTTTTCAGTCCGCATGTCATGGTTGATTCGCAAATGTCATGGCAGACAGGGAGCTTTCACCTATCAAGTATTCCAACATTGTAAGAGAATATGATATTTCCAATTCTACGAGTTTCTGGTGATTGAAAAGTTTCATCGTCTTTGTAGGTTTGTCGAGGTGTTCCGACCTCTACTTGAGCTGAGATCCCGAGAGCATGGAATAAAGAAATTATTAGCCGCTGAAGAAAATTTTGGACTGAGTGAAAACAGCTCTGCAATCTATGCCTGCCCACAATAAAGCTTTTAATCATGAAAAGGAACCATGGTTCTTTCCGCTGAGGAACATTTAGCAAGCATCGGATTCAAAAGTCAATTGGGGTTCAACCGCGCTAAGTTGTTTTAAGAAATAAATCACATGACCACAATCGGGCGTAAGTTTCAATACCGTATCTTTGTATTTGCTTTACCAGAGACTTGACTTCTAGTTCGACGCGTGAAAACAATACCGCGTTTTCCTCCACCACAGCCGCCACATCTCCCCAAACATCAACATGAGATAGAGACGCCCAACTTGACCAATTCGATGTTTAATTTGCTTGTCCCATCTGCTGCTTCTTTCTGCGATGTATTTACCTCGGAATCTTATTTCCCAGCTTTACTTTGATCTCCTCCGATCCCACCATCCTCTCTCCCCACCCGTACTGATACTTGCCGCCCTGGAGCCAGATGCGCTGTGTGCATGTCGAATCTTGACGACATTACTCAAACGAGATTATATTCCTCACAAAATACAGCCAATTAATGGATATGGCGATTTATCCCGCGCTGGAGAAGAGCTGGTTCGTCCCATGCGAACCACGCAGGGCGGGAGCGGGGGAGTGGTCGTCTGCATGGGCGTGGGCGGCCTGGTAGATTTAAGTGATGTATTAGGTCTCGATGTGGACGAGACAGGGAGCATGGGTGGTGTTGAAGTTTGGGTCATTGATGCTAGAAGACCATGGAATCTGGGGAATGTCTTTGGAGGATACCCCGGACACGCTGGACTGGAAGAACAAGATTTACATCAGAGACGCAGTGTTGGGTTGAATAAAGGATGTATAACGCCATCTTATAAGTCACATGAAGGAATAATTGTTTTTGACGATGGCGACATCGAGGAGGAATTAGCGGCTGAAAGGGAGGCTTACTGCGCGCTCCTAGAAATGCCCGAGTTGGACGAGGATGATGTGGACAGCAACGATTCTGACAGTCCTACGGACACAGATGAAGATTCTGGAGTTCATACGAAGAAAAGAAAGTCATGGCCCGGTCGTGATGACGATGATGACCACTCCGATGACGAAGGGCCACCGCGACAAAGGCGCAGGAGCAACACTGTTCGTACCATTACATCACAAACTAATTTTATACTTAGACTAATGGCTATATTGTAGGGATCCTTTATAACATCGCCAACCCGTTATGAACGTCAACCGCGAGATTCCTCCCAGTCATCTCGCTCCCCGTCTCCTTCCTCAGGCTCCGAATCTCCAGCCGCGCCGAAACAGCCCTCGGCGCGTGCTCTACGGCGTCGGTTAGTGCGACTAAAACGAAAACACGAAGGTGTATTGCGAGCGTACTACTCGCTGGGCACATCATATTCTGAGCCAATATCGTCTCTATTATACTCGCTTGCATCAGAACTTGGCCGGGAAGATAATGACCTTCTGTGGCTGGCAATTGTTGGTGTATCCAGCTTAGAGCTATCAGGACGAACCATGACGGGTGTCGGGATATCTAATGCGTCAGAGTCTGGAGGCTCAGCTGGCTGGGGAGGTGAGCGAGGTGAGCGCATTAGGCAGGTGCTTCGAGACGAAGTTCGTCGCTTAAACCCGCCCGAACTCTCCGAGACTGGCCGTGAAGCTCAAAGGAGCGAAGTCAGCGGTGTTATACCCACCACTGGCCGCTCACCCAACGATACTTCGATTCTGCTTTCTCCAGAACCACGATTCCTCCTCGTCCGCCACTGGTCTTTGTACGAAAGCATGCTCCATAGCCCGTACCTGGCTGCCAGACTTCATCTTTGGAGCGAAAATGGGCGTAAGCGTCTACACAAACTTCTCGCCAAAATGGGCGTGAGTCTTAGCCAATGTCAGCAGAATTATACTCACATGGACATGGAACTCAAGCGTGGATTGCGGCAGAAACTACTCAAGTATGCTCCAATGTACGGACTGGAGGGCCTGGTGCCGCAGGCATCCTCGGGAGCTCAATTTGGGACTTATGCTGGCTGGGGATTTGTACGCAGTTGGGGTTGGAAGGCATGTCTGTCTGCCACCGACGTTGGCGTGATCCTTGGCGCTATTCTTGAAGTCGGCAAAATAGATCCCACTTCATCAGATAGCGATCGGCACCGTTTTCAAAAGACCGTCCGGGAAAAAGACGACAGTGCGACCAGTGACGTTTCCGATCCGAGTTCGGACTCTTCCCAGATACTTGCCCGTTTCTGGAGTGCCTATGACGCAATTTCGCTAACCTCATCCGAATCCCCAACAAATCTCCTCAGCTCGCTACCCCTTGCACAACATCTGCACCGTGCGATCTTACGCACGGGCACCTCACTACTATCCAAACACCAAATCCGGCATTTACGGGCATTTAGAATTGCGGTGGTCAAGGATGGGCCAGATGTAAAACTTTTCACCAACCCCGGCGCATTAACTAAACTCGCGCTATGGGTTGGAGAAGCTGTTCGTGTTCAAGAACAAGAAAAGGGAGACGGAATGAAAGTCGGCGGCAAACGGGCAGTCGGGACCCCACTTGTCCTGGCTGGCTTGGACGAAGATAGGAACGTCTATGTAGTCGTTGGAACCGGTGGTGGGGGAGGGGTGGTGGATTTTGCCGCTCTCGCACAGCGACGCGATGAGAGGCGGAAAAAGAAGGAAGCACAGGAGAAAAGGAGAGCGGAAAGGGACGAGAGGCGGGCTAAACGGGCGGCTGAGAGGGCGGAGCGTGGAGAGGATGAGGATGATGGGACAGAAGAAGAGGAAGAAGAGGATGATGATTCTTCGTCTGGTTCTGATTCGGAGTCGGATGATGATTTTGATGAGCGGAGTAGCATTCACAGCCGAAGCATTGCGCGCAACCGCTTTGGAATTGCGTTCCAAGAGGTTGTTCACGAGACGAATGCCCGGGTGAGAATTGACAGCTTCGAGCATTGTGTTGTGGAAGTGGAGAAGGAAGATCTGGGCGGATTCCTTGAGGCGCTAAGTTTCAGGAGCGTTGTTGGGTAATATGAGTGGCTGGTCATTGCATGATGCCGGACATTGCAATGCTTGCCAATCCTACAACAGACCTCTCATAGCGTCGTTATGGGGTCCGACTACATCTGTTGAACATTCCATCTTTGATGTACAGTTTGCGAGCTCTTATCATCGGGGCGTTGCCCTCCGCTTTTCTTCTATTTCCCATCCCATCGGCCACTTTCCTCACCGTTTACCTCCTCGGCATTTACGATATATCTCAACCATTTCCCCAGTTACCCCTCGTCTGTTATTCGCAATATATCCCCCCCCATCCTTTCCCGACCTGATTCTCCCATTTCTCTCTACTGGCAAACTACTTGCCTCCCCTTATCACGACATTTCCACGTATTTCATGCTTTTGGAGCCCCCTTTTCGCGTTCTTTACAATTAGGTTATTTTTTGGAGTATGGCCCGCGCTTTCCTTTCATCCATTTCGCCCTCCTTTTTTGTCGTCGTGAAGCATAAAGACCTTGTATATAGCGTTGTGCGGGTATGGAGGGTTATTGCTGGATGGCGTTTCCTATAATGACTATTTTGTTGCTATTTGTTCCTTTGCTTTTTTTCACATTTTTTCCTCATCCTCTCCCTACCCTACCCCACCCCTAGTCTAGTTACAAAGATGGAGTAGAATGTTTCATATGAAGGAAAGTAATACATGTGAATACTGGTTGATTTTTCCCTCTTTTTTTCATGTACTTCATCTTTCTTCTGGTTTTTTTTTTTTTTTTTTTTTTTTTTTTTCCCACGCTTCGTGTTTATGTTGTTCCTTCCCTATTTTCACCCCAATCTGTACCCCCGGATGCGATGAGGTCAGTTTGCTCCCGGCTGACTGCCTCTTGTTTTCCTTCATGGTATATATTCTATGATTACATTTTGACCCGTGTTCTTTTTGACCCATTGATGTGCTTGAAACATTTTGGCTGTTCGGGTTTTCTTTCGGCTACCCGTTTACCATTTTGGGGTTGTACGTGTGCTGAAGTAATAGAGAGGCATAGACTACAATAGAGAGTGATGGGGGGGGGAGGGAGGGAGACTGTGCGTCTGTCTATGAAGTAGTCCAATCCGTAAAGCTTTCAAGAAAGGAAGAATATATATATACAAATTTTCCCTCGCTAGCTAATTTAGAGAGAGAGGAAGAGCAAAAGAAGAGGTATAGATGGTAAAACAGACTTAGAAGTGAAATGGAAACAATGAATCAGAGCGTAAAAAATATCAAAACACAGCTATGGTTTCCCAAGTAAAGAGCCAGCAAACCAGACCGCCCCCAGGCTCGTTAATACAGATAATCCCACAAGCTGATTACTCCAGTTATTCGAGTCGTCCATTTTCATGGCAGCAGGGGAGATCTTGAACGGCGTGCCAGTGTTATCTTGATGCGTTTCGCCCTCGCCGGTGCTGTTCGATGCCGATTCTGGAGTGGACTGTGCATGTATCTGTGGTTCTTGCAGTCTCCATTCCTCAACTAACTTGGCGATGGCCACGAGGTCCTCCCTTAGCGAGTTAGCATCGGCCGTTGCGTTTCCGTGATTCCCTTCGACATCGACATTCTGCACATTGCCGAAAAAATCCATAACTATGCGCTGTCTACCTTCTGCTTCACCGCCAGGGAACAAATCCCACCGCACGCCGGGCTGAGAATGGATCTTCGACTCGTCGTACGAATCAAAGAGGTCGCCTAGAGTACGCTTGGAGTTCTGGTTCGTAACCTGCGTTTCCAGGAACTCGAGAATGTAGTATGTCCAGCGATCGATGACGGCGACTCCCACGTCGCTATCGGCATGGTGGGAGTAGGACGACTGAGAGAGGGCGCTGGAACCCGTGGCGATGATGTTGGGGGAGTAGAAGTGGGTGTACATGGTATTGGCTTGGCAGGTATCGATCATGAAGAGCAATTCCCGGTATCGTTTCTTTTCCCACATCTGCCCGAAAGCGTCAGCCAAGTCCCACGCGCCTATTTCCTCTGAGTCCTGGAATTTCAGGAACTGATCTCCGCCGTGCCCGGTCATGTAGACAAGGACGTTGCTTCCTGCATCAGACCCCAGTCGCTTGCTGCGGGGCACGTCGTCACCTAGCCGGTCTGTTAAGAGTCGGATGAAGCTCTCTACAGTCACTTCGTAGCCACGATAGTCTACTTCTATGTTGTCGCCGTATAGGTCTAGAGCGCGGTCGGCGTTGTTATATACCGTTCCTGGAAATGCGTTGCGAGGGTTGCAGGCCATGTCGTCTGGTAACATCAGGATGATCTGGGAATCGGGAATCCCGAGCCTTTTGACCGTACGGTAGAGGGAGAGGACATTGGCGAGATGGCGGTAGTTGAACCAGAACCGGGAGGTAGAGACGAGGACGGCCCAATTAGAGGTGTGTTCTGCGGAGACGAGGTAGGAGAGCAAGGTGAGGAGGGTGGGGAGAATAGAGAGGAGGCGCATGGCGGAGATGGGAGGGAAGAGATATTTAATACAGTTCAGCTCATGGAGACGTAAATACCTACTAAGTAGGTATGTAGATTGGGAGGCAGTGCCGTGAATGTATGTGCAATACAATTCAATATAAAAAGCGCGGTGAAGTTGAGGTTCTGGGCACTTCCGAATTGGGTTGAGGATGCGTTGTCAGCAAGGCAGAATGTTGGAAGTCACGGGCGCTAAAAGTGACCTGGATCCGCATACCATCTAGCGTGGGGCGGGAGGTACCGCTACCCGGCCCAAGCTCTTGTTTGCGGCTTAACATGATTGCTGCATTCCCCATCTTTGTCTTGTCTGTTTCAACTTCACCAACTTGAGTCATTCCCTTCTGCTTCTTCTTCCTCTCCATCTTCTTCTTCTTCTTCTTCTTCTTCTTCTTCATCTTCTGTTCTCCCCTTCTTGTTGCTCGTCTAGATTCACTCATTCTGCTTCTGTTTATCTAGCTTGTCTTCAAGGCTCTCTGCAGATAGAGGACACTTCAGTTGTTGTCTGGCTATGTATGCCACCCCCCATACAACACTGCCGATTGTTACCTACCTAGCTTGGTTTGCTTCGAAATAAATATCTACGCCAGCTGTTAGTTGATGCCTGTTTATCTCCACCATACTCATACCTATCTATCAGGAATACAAGAGTCTACAGTAGCCTGTTTTTGACTATTTGAGCTTGCGACTTGCCCTAGAGAGTTTATCAATTTTCTGCTCTACCGTCTTGCTATATGTTACATTTTATTCCGTGCATCACCTTTTTATATTGATGAATGTGAATGTCATTTCAAGTTCAATCATCTCTCTTCTACTACTTTGAATCCCCAGTTCTGTGTTGTCTCCGTGCAAATATCTTGATCCAAGGATCCCCGCAAACGTCGGGATCAGCTCCCTTCTACCGATTATAGAGTTGATAGCTAGCTGGTTAACCCCCTGCCTCGATGTATTCACCCATTAATGGCTTTGGCCCTTCATTTTACGAGAAAAAGCCAAAAAAACCACCAATACTATGTCTTCCCCCGGAGACGCTCAATGCCATATTTTCCTATGTGAGTACTCGCAAACCCCGCAAAATGATAACACTATTCGCTTAGCTTCTCTCATCTTTATTAACACACGCATTTCTCGGCTTTGTTAGGCTTCCTCTTCGGATTTGGTTAACCTTTCCCGCGTTTCAAAACCTTTCCATGACCTCGCTGCAGCCCAGCTCTATCGCTCCTTAAGTCATGTTTTTGATGAGCGTGATCCAACGACAGGACAACTGACTTTGGGTCGTCTAACTGGTGTTCTGGATACCCTGACTATAAGTGACTACAACTACGCCGCATATATCAAGGAAATATCCCTGGATACAGTTCAGGACAATCGTATTGACGCAAGTGTAGCTTCGGAATTCAAATATAGATCTAGCTCTGGGAGGTTTTTGAATACTCTACTACTCGGAACTATAAAAAAGATAGTGGCCCTGGAAAGTTTCCGGTAAGCTACTTCCTATTCGTACTACATCTAGCTTGTGATTTTTTTTTTCTAAAGTTATTTATTTCTGAGCCGATTATTAGGTGGAATGTTCGTGTGGAGCTTAGTCCCGCTATCTTCGCAACATTAGGCAAGCACACAAGCCTCCAAAATGTCCATGTTCGATTGCAAGATGGGCTACCTACTTGCCCATCTTCGCCAATGCCACCTCTCTCCGGCTCATTGTCGTTTGGCGCTCCTACTACTGCCTCTATGCCGCCAACCACGAATCACTATCACTATGATAGTCACCACCACCACCATCACCACCATCATCATCATCATCAGCCACCGCCCCCTTCGGGTTCCGCGCAAGGCTTTTTGGCAAATGCTGATGTAAAACTAGTGAAGCGGTTGAATATTCGAAAGCTTTCTCATACTGCCCGGAATTTCTCTAGGTTTTCAAGTTTGAAGAGCTTGGCAGTTTTAGATGTGGATACCCTTGATTATGTCCCAGAAATTGCGGAATGCATTTCATCGTCGTCAACCACTCTTAAAACCTTAAAACTATCTTTTTCGGATACGCTGGCTCTCAAAGCTCGGAAGAAACCTGTGGATCCATCGGACGCGGATACCGTACAAGAAGACGACGATGGCGGGTTTTTAAACGGTCCTTTGATGGCATCTCCAGCGCCGCCTCCACCACCCGTAGGGTCGCAATCATTATTCGGAAACCCGCCTACAACGAATGATGCTGGTGTGCGCCTTGAACGTGCTGCCCAGGAGAAGGCCCTTGCTCAAATTTTTGGGCTGGAGAAAGGGACTGCTATACAGCAGAACCTTGAGAGAATTGCGGACCGTGCAATTTCTAATGCAGACAAAGAAATCCAAGCGCTCGGGCCATTGCAACATGACGTAGATCGAATGTTTGTGGAAAAGCTGTCCGCAATCGTACATAGGCTAGAACGGAGCAAGGGCGCTTCCAGGGGCTCCAGCATTTATTTGAAGGCTCTTCAAAAGATCGAGAGAGCAGCAGCCATTTATCTGGAGAGAAATGAAGCCACAAATGTCTATCGGAAGGGGAAGAAGAAACCATTCACTAGCCAGAAGCACTCTCACAAAGCACCACTTGCACAAGGCCCAGGTACACAAAAGCAAGGCTCACTATTCGGAACTAGCGCGCCTCAATCCCAAACTACATTTGGCTTTGACCAAGGAACTCATTCTATGAAACATCCTGGTCTGGTATATCCACAGTCATCACAGTTCCCACCATCGAACAAAAGAATATTTTACCCCTCGCAGGGATCTTACCCTCCTGGATCTTCATGGACTACCCCGGGATCTATGCATAAAAACAATGCTGTACACCCGGGAAAGTCGGCCAATGATTGGAAGCCTACCGGTAAGGCCTTTGCGGACTACTCGTCATCCCCATCCGACGCCGGAGAGAGCATTTTCAGTAAGTTCCAACAGGGTATGCATAATGAAGATCCTCAGCAGCCCGCTATGCTTGAGCCGGAAGAGAAAGAATTTGAGGATAAGTTGCAGGATATGGTTGATATGGAGCACCCTGATGAAGTCAACGATGAAGATGGTGAAGATCAGGAGTTTCTTGACTTGAGTGAGAGCTCTGCGGAAGATCAGGACCCAGTTCCATTTTTGCATGACAAGCCGAAATTGTCCCAGCCTAATAATGTATTCTCTTCTGATGCGGATGGGCATGCATCAGGCTCATCATATAAAGGGAAACAGCCTATTCGGGCTTCTGGCAATTCTTGGCATACTGGCTCGCCGACCTCTATATTGCATCAAGAAATCGGAGGCATGGAGGATACTGAAGACGCCATCCAAGCGTATATTCGCCTACACCATGGAATCCCAGTGGAAAGTTTATCTATTCACCTGATCCCTGTGAAACCATCCATACTTTGCCGAGCCGTCAATCTTTCGGCACTGAAGCATCTCTGTCTTCTGAACGTCGGACCACAACGGCCATTCTGGGCCATGCTCACTAAGTTACACCAGACCACTCCACTCCAATTAACGTCAATCCATACAGATAACGTCACACCGAGCTTTCTGGCGTTTTTGAATGGCCTGAACTACTTAGAAGAGCTCTTCATGGTGGAAAGGAGCAATCGGTCAAAAGTCGAGTCCTTCGCACCCAAGACGGAAGTGGTAATTGAAGACATCAAGAAGCAGGTACTTACAAAGCATGTGACACATCTGAAGCGTTTGATGATTCGAAACGACAACGACTCGTCCTGGGTTTTGAATAAAGAAGCCGCCCTGCTTGTTGGTCGACGCGGCTCGGCGATAAAGGAGCTCGTTGTTGCCCTGAACTCGCCTAATTTTGTAAGTTTCCAATGCATCCATACTTTTTGCCTATGTGTGGTCACATCCCCCCTTCCCACGAAAACTGTATGTAGAACATACTGACAAAATCTAAAATCGAAACAGCACGTGCTTATGCTGAACATGCACGGCTTACGCTCTCTTCGGGTTCTGCACATCCTCTTTACCCAAAATGATTCCTGCTCAGGCATGCTCCGTGAGATCAGGCTCTGTGCCATCGACAATGTAATCCAATCCCCCCACATGAAAGTAGAATATATCGCCGTAAGTTATGCGGTGAAAGAACCCGGAACAAATTCCATTTCCCGCCTAGAGTATCACCCGGCTTCCTCCTCCCGCTCAAAAGATGGGAGTAAAAATGTGCATTCACTATACGACGAGGACGCGGATGAGGACAGGAATGGGGTTGGAGACGGTTTCGGCCATCCCCCATCATCTACTGCTCATCATGCTTCTGGGAGCCTCAAAGGCAAGGAGAAAGAAGTGCATTTTCCATGGGGGAGCGAGGTAGAAAACTCCTATGATGAGGATGATGAGGATTATGAGTATGATGATGAGGAGGAGGTAGGGCATGGTGAGGTAACAGTTCATGACGGGTTGAAGTTTCATGATATTACCGGTGTTAAAGTTTGGCAGAAAGAGATCTGGGATTTGAAACTTTGAATGTCGTCGACGTTGATGGTGAGGAAGGTGAGGGAAGGCTGTGACATGATTCCGATAAACAACCGAATCCTTCCTTATTGTCCTGGTTTATGTTCTTCGTTACTGTTGTTTCGCTGCAATTTTCTGTCCCCATCGGTCCCTAATAATTCTGCTCCTTGGCTGCATGTAACCCTGAAGATATTACCTACCTCGTATTATGCCAGATTTTTGCCTGCCTCATGTACTGTCTGTCTGCTTTTAGTTGATTTGGTTTTATTTTCGCTTTTTGATTTCCCAGCTAGCTTGAATTCTTCCTGCGGTTTCTTGCGACAACACTGGCTTTAGCAATTCTGAAGTTACGCAAGCACCTGAGACAGCACGGAGAATAAGTGATAGAGAGGGAAAATGAATTGCACATATGATGTGGAAGTTCGTGATCTTATGAATCCCCGGGAAAATGGAGATCGGTTGGTGGGCTGAGTATTGGGATTGGGAGCAAAAGCACCATTTTGTGTGCAGTGAATTTTAGATACTGGGTTCTCCTTTGAGTATTCGATGTTTATGAGGTTTATGATAACGAGCCGTGTTTCCAATAGAAGAGATATGATGATGATTTTACGCTTATTTAGACAATGGAGTTTTGCTTGGAGCTTTGGTTGATTGACTCCATTTCAATATTTGCCCTTTTCGATCGGCCTAACCAAACGACTAATTCATGCTTACGTGATCCCGATGTTGTCACTGCCTAAAAAATTGACCTCGATCAACTTATCACGCCGACTCACTCCGCAAACTCATAGATCGATATACATACTACAGTTGTGACCCTCGTCCTAGCAAAGCCACTTTTTCCCTTTATTTTTTAAAACGTTGTCTGAGATCTTGCATAGTGTATTTATATAGCGCAACTATGGCGGGAAAGAAGGGCGGCGAAAACACGAAGAAGGCGGCGGGCAATGCGAGAGTATGATATCATACCCCTCCCAAATACAGCTATGTCCTCACTTTTGGGAATGTAGCTGAACTAGCGGTACACAACTATAGAAAGCCGAAGCTGCCGCGCAGAAAGAGGCGGCTGCAAACGCTAGAAAAGCCGAGGAGGAAGCTCGCGAATGGTCGAAGGGAGCCAAATCATCTGCGAAGAAGTATGAGAGACCCCCCACACCCGAGCCACTTTCACCCAACTCAACACCAGGAGCCAACAATACCGATATGATCACACTTAATATGCCCAAGAGAAAAAGCACCACTGACAACCCACTCTCCAGAGAGCAAGCCGAAACCAAAAAGGCCGAAGCAGCCCGTAAAAAAGCCGAACGCGAAGCCCAACTAGCCGCCGAAGAAGCCTCCCTCCCCTCCAAACCCAAAGGCGCCGGCGCAAAATCCGCCTCGAATAAGAACCTTCCCCGCGCCGGCACCCTCGATCTTTCCCAGCTCGACGCCGACGAGAAACCCACAGGGCACAAAAAGGCCACCCCGGCCCTCAACGCCACTGGCATCGACAACGCGCTCGACGCCCTCTCACTCACCACCTCGTCCGAGACGACCAAGATCGACCGCCATCCGGAGCGGAGGTTCAAAGCCGCATACGCCGCCTTTGAGAGGCGCCGGTTGCCGGAGATTGAGCAGGAGCAACCGGGCCTGCGGAGGCAGCAACGCATTGAGGTTGTGCGGAAGGAGTTTGAGAAGAGTGAAGAGAACCCGTTTAATCAGGCTACCGTTGCGTTTGATGCGACGAGGGAGGAGGTGATGGCTGTTAAGGAGGCGGAGAGGAGGAAGATTGAGGGGCGGTTGGTGGGGATGAGGGATTTGTGATCTTTTTTCTTTCTTTTTTCTTCTGGGTTTGTGTATTTTCTTTCCTGCGGGTTTTTTGGGGACCGGGTTAGCGGGCACACTGTTTCCGCATATAATTATGGCGGGTTTTGCTTTCTCTCGTTTGGAATGAATGGATGAATGGTGATGATTGTTTGATGATCATGGCATGGTTCTATGTATTCATGCAGACGAACATGGGATAAGCAGTACATGATTTTCCTCATTCCATTATTTCAGGATAGATATTTCTCCTCTCAATTTTTTGTATGGCATATATACTGATCTGATGACTCGCAATTATGCCCCAAAACTTGTGTATTGACTTTTTGATTTCTAAGATAGACTAAGTTCGATAAATCAACGGAGAAATTTCTCTGATAGCTTCAAATGAAAAAAGAAAGATTAGTTTGTCTATGTTTATTTATGACAGGGATTAAATAAAGAGATATTATGCTGTGTAAAATCCAGCAGCAGGTATTGGGGGGGGAATATTCAAAAAGAATGGTAGGAAGCATTACAAGGTGAGCTCAAAAATCGAAGCTTTTAAACCAAAGACTCTTAACTCCAGTTTCGAAGACGGAAAATGTGCAATATATAACATGGTAGAGGTCGGGGAAGAGGCAGAGGTGCGTAGATAGGTACAGGTAATAGATCAAAAACGAGAATGAGATATATATAAAAACAATGAGAAAGGAAATCAGTAAGGGGTGGGAAGTAGTAGACGGTGAGTATGAGGCACAAAGAAAGGAAGAAAAAAGCAAACATGTGGGCTAGTGGGGAGAGTGTGTAATGGCACATCACTCAGTAACTAGATATGAGTAGATATCCGAATTACTGTATGTATACCAGCTGCAGATTAGCCTCGACTCATTAGGACAACATAGATGAAGAATAAAAACAACCACGTACAATTTCCCAAAGCTCTCCCTTCCCATGGCATCCTCACGAACCCAGACGCTCACGTTACGTGACACCACACCAAAAACACCATAACCGCGACTGTCAATCTTCACTCTGGAACGGCAATAACCATAAACCTCTGTCCAGACGCTGTCCGCATGCGCTTTTCCTACATACATGCGCTTCGTGTCGGCAGGGCCGTTGCTGAGGACGCAAGCGAGACCATCTGGATGTGCTGAGTCGCCCAGGCGGACGAATCCTGTACAAGAAGTGTTAATTAATCATGACAGGCACCCGAGATTTGGGGGTGGATACAGGGGTTGCACGAGATTTCGAGCAGATATGTATAAAGCAAAGGGGCAGAAACTAACCAATACAATTCCTTTTATCAAAATAATCGCGCTGTCGACCGTATGCATATAATTTTCTAGCAAGGGCTAGGTCGGCTAGTCGGTCATTGCAGGAGGGTTTGAGGATGCCCTGGCAGCCACCGCACATTCCGTACAGGTCGCCGTAAAAAAGGCAGGGGTGGCCCTCTTTGCGAAGGAGGATTAGGGCATATGCGAGCGGCTTGAAGAAATCTTCTATGGGTTCCTATTTGGTTGTTAGGAGGCTCTAATTTTTTGACGCGTCATTTTAGTGGGCGATTGGCAAGAATAATTTACCTCGAGGGATTGGGACGGTTGCTGGATTGTTGTTAGAAATTTGAAAGTGGCTAGAATTTGTGTAGTGAAACAAAGAAAACAAACTTACAGTATCATGGTTCATGACAAATGTCTAGCCACTCCGACATGTTAGTGAACCCGTTTGTACCTTCTTGTCGATCGGTTGAAGAGGGGTTTCTAGATAAAAACGCACCACAGCATGTTTCTGCTCATATTTAACCAAAGTCCCCTCAAAGACCCTACGCAAATCAGCGCCTGCCGTCCTCGAAATCTGAGAAAACCGGTGGACCAATGGCGCATCAAATAACGAGACCAGGTAGTCCATTCGTCCTAAATATTCCAAAAGTTCTCGGACTTCCACCTTCCAATATTCAGCCACAAGGAACCAGCCAGGCCCAACCGTTCGCTGAACATGGCCGATAAACTCTTTTAGAAACCCAGCTGAATAGTGTTTTACCGCATCCAACCTGAGACCAGCGATCGGTAGTTGGTCACCTATCCATTGAATCCATTTCAGGACGTCCTCACGAACTTCTGGATGGGAGTAGTCCAGATTCGCAAACATCAAATAGTCGTAGTTGCCATTCTCCTTGCTAACATCTCGCGCCCAGTCCTTAGTATCGGGCCCCATGATTTTATATATCCCTGTTTTCTTATTACGGGCATTATAGTCGACTCCTGTAAAATGGTACCAATGATATTTCATTTTGCTGTACCTTGTCCCCCGACCAGGAAATGAAAAACCCAACCAAGCTTCAATTTCCTCGGGCTCACTGATGATTTTTCTGCGGTCTAAAGTTTTGGTTGTGGCATTAGTATCAACACTGGACGTATTTTTGGGTAGTACAGACGTAGAAAACCCCTTCCCCATGGCCCATTAGTGGCATTTAATTTAAAAGGTCAGAAACCCACCTTTCGGATTAACCCTAACCGCCACACACCTCTCCGTATGATCAGCCGCAGCTTTATGATTAAGCACCGTATCCCAAATGACCGCAATCTCCATCTCATGCGCCCTCTTCACAAGAGCAACAAGCTCCTCCTTAGTCCCCCACTTCGTGGCCCTGGACCCTTTCTGATCGAACTCGCCCAAGTCGTAAAGGTCGTAGATGTCATACCCGTTGCCGGACGGGCTCATGGCCTTACAGCCCGGTGGGAGCCAGATACTGGTCACTCCGATCGCCTTAAGACTTGGCAGGGCTGCCAGCAGCCGTCGCCAATGTTTCTGGTCATCAGGCACGTACCACTCGAAGGCCTGGAGCATGAGCTGGTTTTGCTCACCCGACTCATCGGGGTTGAAGTCTGGGAAAATGATTAGTGAAGTGCTACTTGTTTTCTTTCGGGAATTTTGCGAAGGTAGTAAGAGAAACCATAGGTAATGACGGTATTGAGTTTTGAAATGGAAGAGCTTAAAAATTTGCGGAGGACAGTCGAATAAACCGAATAAAGCGTCGCCGGTCAGAAATGAATTACGTATCCAGACAGAAAATGAGACCCAACAACGGAGATCCATAAAAATCCATAAAATTACATATAGGAAGAGGGTCAGCCAAAAAAGACAAAACTTACCGTCAATATCAAGCCATTGCGTCTCCCGCTTCCGAAATATATACTGGTAGGCCGACGATATAAGAGACCCCATTCTTCCGCAACAAGAGGGTCCCGACAGACACCGCCGCAGCCACTTCCCGCCTCAAACACCCTGGACAGGATGCACTTCTCAGAAACTAATGCAGACAGTGTTGAGAAAAAAGGGAAGAAAGATATCACACGTCACGTGCACACGCACGTCTGTCTCGCTGTAGCAGTATACTCTGTACGTATACGCGTTTAGTTCATGCTCCGTTTCTTTCTTTTTCTTTCTCTTCTTCCTTTCTGTGCTTGAGTTATGATCTCGTTGTTCTCAAATAGCAAGAAAGAATAAAATAAACAAAAAAAAAAAAAAAAAAGAATTAGCGTGTGGATAGTTAAATAAAGTTTCAGGGGTAGTTCGGCCTGTGATTTTTTGATACACCGATGCACAGTTCAGGGGACCAGGGGCAATTGATCAAAGAATGGGTCTCCTATATGATGAGCAACGTAACTGGAAAATCGTATAGCAGACAGGGAGTATTAAGGTAAATATGTACTGGGTATATGTATGTACGTATATGGGTTTGGTATGTTCAGAAAGGAGACACGTGGAATGAGTGGTTGGTGGTGAGTTTTAAGATGCGGCAATGAGAGATCAGCCGTAGGGGACTATTCTACGTACTAACTGTAATAGGAAAGAACGGTCTTGGCATGGTTGAGGAATCATATCATCACGTTCAGTTTAATTACCGCATGTGGTTAGACTGGTGGCAACATTGTAAATGCACTTACTAATTAATGAGCCAAAAAGAGTAGGAATATTAACTTTTGTGAGAGAAATGCTATACAATGTCTATCAGAGGGTGAAAAGAAATGGGCTCTATCTAACACACTTCTAGAAACGACAATGAGAAAGCAACTCTATGAACACTATCCATGGCATATAGAAAAGCAAAAAGGTTCTTTTGGAAAAATCAGGGAATATCCATCACCCTCTATCTATACATGCAATAGAAAAAGTTGCTCTAAAAAAAAGACCAGACAGTAGAAACGAACCAGGAAACGCACAGAAATGAAATGAAGAATAGTACATGCCAATTTTTATTTTTTTGAAAAGAGAGGGAACAAATGAATACAAACGAAACAAAAATCGAAGGGGAAGTTATTTGCGGACATGGTTATTTCAAACAAAAAGTAACAGCTTGTCTATCTGGTATTTCATTACTTTTCATCTTTTTTAAAAACAAAAGGAATTCTGATCCAAAAAAAAAAAAAAAAAGAAAAGAAAGAAAGAAAGAAAGAAAGAAAGCAAGAAAATTACATCCCGGATGAATCCGCTAGGGACATATGGAAGGTCAAATAGTGCGTTGCGACCAGGTGTTCTAGGAGGTAGGTATCGAGAGGGTTAAAGGAACGGGTAGGCGGTAAATTGAGGATAATCAAGGAAGAATTTATTTCAAGTCGATACCCTGAGTGGCGTTGAGGACGCGCTTGATGTCACCTGTAGAGAATAGGAACTCAGTAAAACGATTATACAAGGAAATTCAGAATGAGAAGGAACCGGGGAACATACCGTAGATAGCAAACTGGCCAGCAGTGATAGCACCAACCAGGAAGAGACGAGCACTAAGACCGCTGAAGCTGCCCTTGAGTCCGAGATCCTTGGCAATCTTGATCAAGCGGGACATGTTTCCTTCACCTGGAAGGCCTTCAGTCTTGTTGATTTTGCTAAGCATAGTGTCGGCAGGCTGGGAGATAACGGCGGAAGCAAGACCAGCGACAAGACCAGATCCCAAGTTGATTGAGGTCTTGGCGCCATTAGAGAGGGTATCCTTGTCGAAATGACGGTACAGAGCCTCGGAGACTCTCTCGAAGACGACGAACTTGGCCATAGTGTAGGGAACCCTTTAGAGAAATTAGTACAAATTAAATCAAAGCGATGTATGTATGCGCGGATGCTTTTGGGGTTGGGGAGGAGAAAGCTTACTGTTTCAAGAGGATAGGGCCGAAACCAGAGTAGAAAGCACCGATTCCTTCATTCTTCAAGATCTTTCCGAATCCACCGACAAGACCAGAAGCGAAACCAGGTTGAGAAACGAGACGGATACGAGTGGCCTCGAGAGGGCAGAGAGCGATGGAAGCGAAGAACTCAGCAAGAGCAGAGGAGGAGAGGTAGACAGCAGTTCTGTTCCTGGCGGCAGTCTCATAGCCAAGGAAGTCGATTGACTGCTTCTTGAAGAACTCGTAACCTCCGAACTTGAAGGCACCTTGGAGGAAGTAACCCGCAGCAGTAGGACCGAAACCGGCCAGGAGAGCGGCAGCTCCCTCATTCCGAACGACCTGTCTGAATCCTGCAATCATGCCTCTGTTGTAGGTCTGGGGTTCAAGCTGGATTTTCGTCTTGACACTGCAAGGCGATTGCCATTGTTAGCCTCGGGTAAACAACGGACAGGCGTAGAAAGGGGGTTACAACAAACAAGAAGAAGAGAGACAATGGGACTTACACGTCGACAGGTGTGAGGGCGCCATGGGTAGCTGAACAGCAGACAGCGCCAGCAAAGGCGAATCTTGCGTACAGGTTAATGCCGCTCAACTGAGGGCCCTGGGGGGTAGGCAAGGCTGGCTTTTTGACGCCATCCAGCTGGGCAGAAGGGGCAGCAGCAGCAGCCATTGTGAAAGGAATATACACAAACTAATAAGCGAGAGGTCGCGACAAAGAGGGAGGAGTGGAGGGGGGCCCGAAACGAGAGAACGGGGGAGGGTGGGATTATTATTAGTAGTATAATATGACCACAGAAAAGAAAGTGGAAAAAGTCTTTTATTATAAAAAGAAGATCAAAGTCCGCGATCGAGAGTTTTAAAGGCAAAGAGCCTCCGAAAACTTTTCACGACCAATCACGGAATAGCAAAATGCCGAGAGTTTCTCGTGGAGACACTAGCACCGTTAAGGACTAGCGGAACAGCTGCTTAGTCACCCTCGTTCCAGCACCCTCGCCGTCGATTGGCGGGACAACATGCAGGCTTGTACTGGAACTGGGCTTGGGGATGGACGAAGCATCAAGCATATCCAGAGGAAACAGCCGCATCAAACCTGGTCATGGCAGTATTCCAGGTCAGAGGAGGAGGTTGAAATGGTTTTGATATTGAGCGCAGTGGTGGCAACTCAGGGACTCCCGTCACTCAGTACAGGGGCGAGCCGTTCCGCGCTGCCCGATCTCTGGGCAAGTCTGGGCTGTTCCTGGATTTATTTTACCCCTTGGCCAAACCATCCATCGGGTGGTGGTGGCGACCAATGATGTCATCCGCGCGGCAGCCCCAAGAACCGCAACTCTTCAAATTCACTCATATATCACTTCGAAAAATATGTGAAAAAGATCAAAGAGACACATCAATGTGATGCCGAAGCGATCGATCAACGTTCGTTCTAGGGTTTTCTGAATTTAAGCTTTTAAGGAGAGGTATGTCAAAATATCATAGTGAAACCAAGATCCGCTAACTGGGCTTTCCTTCCCCCCATCATTGTCAATATTCAAAGTCCCCTTTCAATCAATCTCCTTACCCAATAAATACCAACATTACACACATATACATATATATCCAATTTAAGTCATCACCAATCCAAGACAGGATGTCAAAAAGGAAGAGACAAATCGACGCTATCATCACCTTACAAAGGGATAATGATGGGTCCAGTCACTCCAATATCCCAGCGAATGGCGACAGCATCATTGACACCAACATACTCAAGGGCAAAAAGTTGTCCAGCAGGGCAGTCGAACTCAGGATATCCATGGAATGATTGGATCCAGTCCGCGCTTCCCGGCGCTTCAACCTGGATACGGCCTTGATGGATATCACGGCTCCGCTGCGTCTCTGCCAGCGCGGCAGGGCGCCATTGAGAGACTGTCGCCGGGGAGAAGTCGTGCGTCGGTGGGTCGATGACGGTGAAAACGTCCGCCTGCTTGGACCCGCTGGAGACGTCGCGGGGCCACAGGTCAAATTGGAGCCTGCAGCGGCGGCCCTGGAGGTCGGGGGAGATGTCGAAGGTAACGATTGTGGTTGTCTCGTGTGCGGCGATGCCGTCTTTCACGACAAGAAGTTGGTCCTGTGGGTCTTCTTTGAGTTTGCCGCTTGAGACCCAGTAGCGGAATGTGCGGTGTGGGTAGATTTTGCCGTTTATTTGACGACTGGTAATGTCCCCAGCTGGGGAACTGGCTGGGGCAGCGAGGACTGCGGTTGCGGCAGCGATGAACAGTGTGGCGAGCTTCATGGTGGCTTGATGGATAGAACTTTTGGGGAAGTATCAAAAAAGGAGGCAGCTATATCGTGGATAAACACTGAAGTAAGCTGAAAACGAGCGTGATACGTTAACGGCGAGGAAGAGTAGATCATACACTGGTTAAATGAAGATAGAATGGAATGCTGAAAATGAAAAAGGAGGAAGCGGGCTCCAAGCTCCCATTTTATATACTTCGCAGTTCCCCAAGATTACCCCAATATAGACAAGCGAAGTAGAAGTACCGAGACCTCGCGGAATTCGCAAGCGGATTCCTTTACGTCGGCTAAATGTTATCGACATGTCATCGACGCCATACCCGAATAGCAGGGATCTGCACGCAGGGTCTCAAACTAAGACACAGCTCCATGCCCAAGCACACCCAAGCAGCCAACCTTGCCTTTAACCCTAGCCTATCGAATTTCGCGGATTCCAGCACCAGTGCAGCGCGTGATGGCTTAGAAAAACGAAGACTTACTTTTAGCCTCTCAGAAAGCTTAGTTACTGCGGCCAAAAGCAAAAGAAGTACCAGGACAATCACGATGGAAGGCTGCCGGCTCTCTATATCTCCCGAGGTTGGCATTTATTCCATCTTCTCCGCCCTTGGCCGTTTGGGTTCGGAGAAGGTGAGGCTAGTCATTCATGTCTCACTACAGTCCGCCGGAAGAAGTCATAAACTGAGCTGATAGCCAACCGTAATCAAGCACCGTTGGCTCTGCGGTGTCGGGTAGGAGAACAAACTCCAATTGACCACTCTTTAAAGCCAAAGGAATTTTTGAGCTGGAGAGTTGATTGGCACATGTTTCTCGAGTGATTATTTCTGATGTCAATGCATCCGTAGCGTCTATCTATTTTTGGCATGTACTGTGTCTCTTTCAGAGCACGAGGTGGAGTCAATGTTCCGGTGATCAATGTTCCGGTGATCAATGTTCGCTCGTTCTGTTCATTATTGCGTAGTTCCGACCACATACGGATTCGTTCATTGACAAATGCTACCTTCACAGCTGGGTTTTCAGCTTGACCTGCGCCAATTAATAGAACGAACTGATTTTTGGGAATCCATGGATACTGGAGGAAAGTTTTCCCCAAGTTAGCAAGTTCCATGGATCAACAATAGCTTCCGACAGCTTCCCCAGCCCCAGCCGATGATAGCTCTCCAACCCATGTCTAATGTTTCCCGCGGCCTTCAGAAATTCTTGAAAGGGCTAGCCTCTGATGATGGCCCATTCTTCGTATTCATCATGTCCTGTACCGGGACAGTCACAACAAACAAAGAGGATACCGACGATCGTTGTCTCAGTCAAGCAAGCGGAGAAAGAGTGGGTAGGGATACGAGGAAAGATGTTGTCGAGGTTGGAGGCAACCACCCCATGTTCAGCATCATCCTCATCCAGGCTAGCTAGGCAAACCTTATCGGGTAAGGAAGGGGCTTTTGAGTTAGGGCTGTGGCATCGGAATTACAGCCACCGGCGCCGCTGACACTGATTGACCACGTATCAGGTACTCCTGCGAAGGTGGGAGGGAGTACTTGGCACACATAGCAGCAGGGTTGAGTGGAATGGTGGGTGAGGAGTGAGCTGGTAGTTGAAGGAAGGTTGTGTGTGGGGACCGAGATATAAGGTTCTTGCGTGGCGGGGAGGCTGAAAATAGCGACCGATCGATGGAACCAGAGTGGCTACAGACAGGCATGGACGGACAATACTTGGTGGATAATGTGTTTTTTTGTTCTTCCTGTCTTTGAATCATTACTAACAAAAAATATGTTCGAAGTGGAATAAGTAGAATGTCAGAACAGACACACACATTATTCCAACCGTCTATAGACCCAACCACTTTACATTGTCTATGTGTTTCAGAAGCACTGCCATTAATTGCCAGCAAGCATTGAATTCAGTGTGTTGCATCAATCATTCTAGCACTTAAATTCTGGCTATCTATCTAATAACTAACTTACGTACATACACATATGTCCATGAAGCATTTCATCAATTCATAATCCAGCTCAAAAAGAAAGATCCTGCACAGAACGACGCAGAAATAGCAGCTAAAGCTAAACAGCAACAATAATAGCCATCCTTCCTCCAAAACAATTGGGGGGCAACGAGGTAAAAATCCCAGTGCAACCGATGTGAAGTTTAAAGCAACAGACGCGGATTGATGGGACGGTAGGGTAGGCAGGGATGGTAGACTTGACGCAAACAAGTACATATTTTAAATTCAAAGTCAAAAAGAAAAAAAGATATCGCTTCATTATGGGGTAAAATCAAATGCTCATTGCGCTGGCCAAGGAAAGAAAATGAAAACAAATGAGAAAAAAAAGAACAAATGAAAGAAAGTAACACGCTATATCATGTCGAAGCAACGAACAACAATGGTGTCTCATCGTCAGCCGTAGCTGTGTGGGCTGGTTAAGGCAAATGAGACTGTAATTATGCCTCAGCTGGCATCCTGACACACTCAGGAAGTGGCGCAGGATCTGCTGACTGTGTTTGCTGTCGTTCCAGTTCCTCTGCTCTTTCTTGCATCGTAGCCTGCGGTGACGGTTTTATGGTTTCTGCCGATGGGTTCTCAAAACTTGTTGATGATGAGGCTGGTGTTGATGGTTGACATCCTACGGCTAACGATTCTTGCGCTGGTTCTATGATTTGATCGCTGGATGTAGAGTCGCGGTCTTTAGTCGGTTGTATGGGCTGGGGTGGCATGGTTTGAACTGATGAACAAACGATGTTGTCATGCTGGCTAGGAGATGGTTCGTTTGGTTGGGCTGCTACTGTAGGTTCCGATACGACTGGTGGCTGTAGCTGGGGCTGTACGGAGGATTCAATGGACTGAGCTTCGCTTTGACAGCGATGTGCAGCGCGGTTCGGAGTGGGTTGCGATGCGTGAGTTTGCTGTAATTGCATACTATCAACAGATGGTATTCCGAAATTGGGACTTCCACATGCTGGTGTAGGGTGAATAACCCTATCGTCCGCCACGGAGTTCAATGGAAATTCCGGCTCAATAGACGCTATAGTAGGGGAAATGACGATTGAGGGCGGGCTGTGTTCCATAGCTATTGGTGTCGATATATCTGGCTGAACGAAATGTCGTGGACTTGTTGTGGGGTGGACAACAGTGCTCTCTTGCCTCGCCATGCTAATTGATAGGTAGAGGACAAGGACGCTGAGGAAAGCAAGCGCAACATTCCGTCTATCGCTAGCCAGCACGCGGATATAATTTGCACAGAGAGTCTGCAGATCTATCTCACTGGGTTTGGTGTGCCCATTGGCTCGCCCATGCTCGAATGTCCGTGGCTCTGGTTGCTCAAAGGAGGGCGGAGGTGAAGACCGGTCAAAATCAGATTGAAACGGAGGAACTATATCATCATCTTCAAGCCCATCAATGGCCTCCTGTGTGGGTGGCGGTGATTCTCCGTAAATTTCTCGCCTCCGCTTCTCCTCCTCCGACAAACGTCGTGCCTCCTCGAGTTTCATCTGATCCTCTTCGGTAATTCTCCGCTCTAGCTCCCGTTTAATTTCAACTGGAAGCGCCAATCCAACCTCGACATCGACTTTTTCCATTTCTCTCCACGCTGCCGCCCAAGCACCGGCTCTCATAAGACCATTGGCGGCATACACTTTGATCTCCCATTTCCGCTTCTCCCCTTCTAAATGCCGAAGTACCCTTGCGCCACAATCGGCGCATTTTTCCCCCTCACATCCATCGCTCGAATCCCCGCAGTCCTCTTTCGCCCCGGACGTCCAGTCTGCATCATCTGCATTGTCTGCATCTTCCCGACCAAGGAAATGGCCGTATCCCAACCTTGGCCGAACAAGCTCTAGACTCTCCAATAACCGCTCCTCAAGCAAATCATACATTTCTTGAGGATGTGATATCAGCAACCCCCGATACCTCAGTACACCTGAGTTGACAATTTTATCCTCCAACAATTTCCACCTCGCCCAGTACTTCTCTGGCAGCACCTCCTGGAGAAGCTGTGCACTAGGTGTTCCCATGCCCTGTGGTAGTGATAGAGACGGTGGTAGTAAAGTACAATGGAGAAGAACGAGGGGGTACTCCTTTTGTACTGGCTCCTCCTTCGCCCGGGGTGATTTATAATTCCGTTTAGCAGACGGCGGTGTCGAGACAAGCGAGTGCATGGACATCCCCGACACACTCTGGCATGAATGCCCACGACCACCACCTCGATGCCTCCGAGATCGCGAAGGTGTGAGATCATCGTTGTCGTACCCGTATCCATACCCATTGTATTCTTCCTCATCGCCCATTTGCATCGCGCGGACCGAACTCGGGTGTCTAAACGGTGAGTCACGATCTCGCACGCCAGGCGCAACCTTTGAAAGCCGGGAAGGATATTTGCTCTTTTTAGACCCGGTGCTATTCACGGGCGAAGGGTCGTCACTATTGCCCTCTAAATAATGTTGCATATAATGCCCACGGAAATTAGAGGGTGTTATGGTTCCGTGGGAATCGTGCTTTCCTGATGGATATACGACGACTGAACCCGGTAAGGAAGATATGGATGAGCGGCTGGATGTTGACCTTGCGGCGTGTCGGCCCTCTTCATCGAAATAGTCTTCATCGCTAGTAAAAGTGGCCGAGGGTTCGGAAGACGAGGAAGAGGAATGAGGGCGTTCGTGATGATGATGATCGTACAAATTGGGTTCAGTGCCCGAGATAAATGTGTCTGCTTGGACTGCGGCAGCTGGATCTTTCTCCTCAAGCAGCTGAGATTCTCCCTCATTAAGAGCGGATGATGGCGAGCGAGCGAGTTCGTTACTATCACGGGCCCCTGCGTCTGAAGCATCCGATGCTGCCGGTTCTGGAGCCAAATCTGCCATGGCCTCAGTTCTGCGTATATTTACTCGATGCGATCCAGCCCCGCGCTTTCAACGGATATCACTACTTCGGAGTTTGATTGCTCCCTCCCCAACAGTTTCTGATGTTTGTTCTGGTTCGTAGAGATATGCTCAAGAATTCCGCGGTGCACAAGATCGATCGTAAATTGTGCGCACGGAGAAATATACACAACCTGCCAAAATAAAGGTCCTCTTGAAAATAATGTTCAAGTTTTGATCATAAGCTTTGCTCATAATTTAGTCCACGCCGACAACAAAAGCAAAAAACAAAAGAAAAAAGTGCAAATCCTGAAAATTAGCCGAATAGTGATAATGATATCTTTTGTTGATATTGCGTAAATATTTAAATTCCCAGCTGATATCGAGTCGAGGGAGAAAATGTTCTTCAAGTAGTCAGATAAATGTCGGATTTCCCTCTGTTTGGAGGAGGTTGGGGGTGATGCGCGTTGTGGGGGGCAACCAGTACAGTACAGAAATTATGTGGCAGGGGCCCGAACCACACCGGATTGGTAACTAGAAGTCGTGAAACGGCTTTTTAGTGCAGCCAATGACCGAGCTTGCCTGATGTTCCCCTCCCTCCCTTTGTTCATGAACGACGTGGGCAAATCAAACCAGACAAGGATGAGGCGGGAACCGATGAGATGGGTCCGAAGTTCCACCAACCACACGGGATATCCCTATCCATATAGTGTCACATTACAGACCAGAAGGGAGAAAAAAAAAAAAAATTAATAGTAAGAAGGCCAGGGAGATGCAAGCGGTCGTGATGTATATAAATTAAAATCTCGCGCGCAAACTCAAGAACTAACGCGGTGGGGATGAATAGAAAGTACACATAGAGGGACCAAAACACTGCAACCAACCAAAGAAAATCGGTATGTGCATTTTTATATGTACTAGAAATCAAAAATTGAAACATTGAGGGGTATAAGTACCCATACCCAATCATTCGCCTAACCAAATGCCTATGCGCCAGCCCTCGTCGAAAGAGAATGACTAGCTTAAAATACTAGCAATATATAATAGAGATGATAACATGGAAAAGAAAATTATTCAAAATAACAGTGGCGTACGGCGAATATGTATTATAAAAAACCAAGAAAATCAGATGTGATAATTATTTAAGCAGAAGGGGGAGGCCGCCCCTCTCCCCCATCGTCATCTGGATCCATCATGGGGCGATACCCCTGATGTTCGCCAAAATAACTCATCACGTCCGGCGGTAAGTATTCTAGCCAAGGAATGAAATCTCCATCAAACGAAAACGGGAAGGCAGCTTGATCTTGCAACGCATTCATGTCGACATCTTGACTCTCGATCGTCATTATTCCGTTATTGCCACCTAGGTTAGTATTGGCATTTGACATTAAGGGAGTATTAAGCGTAGACAGGCGACGGTTCTCATTTCGAGCGGGGCCCATGGAGGGCTGAGGGACGCTATAGTTGTACGAGGTGGCGGTGTGATCGCGGGCGAGATACCCTGTGCTCAGGTCGCTATGAAGTCTCCCCGTTGGACTTTCAGTCTGGACGACAGGGCTCGG